AAAAAAAAAAGGTGCATAGTCATATAACTACAGATAATGAAAGTACCATAGAAAGAAAGCTCACAGGTCAAACTGATTTCAAAATGAGCTACAAGACATAAAGAAAATGATATGACAGGAAAGAACTTGTAAATCAGAATTAGAAAACCTCAGATATGAGGCTGTTTACAGAACTGAATAAAAGAGCTAACAGTAAAAGAAAATTCCAGAAATGAACAAATTATAAGGAACACAAGACCAAATAAAAACAACTGATATGTGTATTAAAAGAAGCAAAAGGCAGAAAGAGAAAAACATTTTTTTAAACCAAAATGAGATAAATAAAGATGAAAAGGATTTACAAGAAAGTGATATAGAAAGAAGATCCAGCATACAGATGATAACTATCCTTAAGGAATTAAACCAATAGAATGGAATGGAACAGATGCTAAGAATTATAATTTTAAAAAGCTTTCCTGAAATAAAAAAGGATCTGATATTCTGTATTTTGTTTGGGTGGTGGTTACACCACTATACCCAACTGTCAAAATGCATCAAACCAAACATCTCAAATATATATATTTTACTGCATGTTCATACCTCAAGTAAAAAATATCTTTTTAAAAACTTGAAACTACTTACTGAAAGAACAGACAGCTACCTGACAATACTGAACCAGAACAACCAACACCAGACATATTTTACTAATATTATTAGACATTAAAGAAAAAAAAAAAAAGAATCTTTGGGCAGTTAAACAAAAACAGTAAGTGATTTATAAGGGAAAGAAAAGTACATTATCATCATATTCTTACACCAGAAGAAAACAGAATAATATATTTATGATGCTCAATTAAAATGAAATGTGACCTGGGGACTTTATATCCAGTCAAACTGAATGTGAATTTTAAAGGGCACACAGGGTTATCAATGTGTAAAACTTCAAGGAATAGTGTTGTCATGAGTCGTTCTGAGGAATCAATGATTGCAGAATGAGTTTCATTCAGCCAGATTACAAGAGGGATCCTGACAGAAGAATTGGTGGTGAACATTAATCATATAATTACTTATAAAACTAAAATTTAATGATGGATAAAAGGGTGAGAGTATGATATATAATGACTATATGCTTAGTCTAACAATTTTTTAAAAATGAAAGAAATAGGGAGAATATACACAAAATTTTAAACTACTTTCAGTTAAATTTTACTGGTGATAGTTGTATTATACTGAGATTGTTTTATATACAATGTAGGAAAAAACAAGTAATTATGAGATATTCTAATTTTATAATTTCCTGTCCTTAAGAATTAGAATCTTCATTGTAGAAGAAAGGAAATACAGATGAAATATGACAGAGGTTAATAAGTAAAATATTCCATAGTCCTGAATTTGAATTGGAAATATCCTGTTAAACTCAAGAAGTATCATATCTATATTTTAGTTCTGGCCATGAAATTTATCTACAGTGACCGGCCCAGTAGTGATACATTCTCCTAGAATTTAGATTGTTGTTTTGAAATGTCATTTCTTGCTTAAAGAAACTAGGGTCTCTGGAAAACATGGCAGATTCCAGTTTTGAGACAGGAAATTTCAAAATGAGCGTGGAAGCTCATGTTCAGTCATGCTATCATGACCTAGCCAAGAGCACTATTAAAAGTTTACTGGGGTCATGGCAAAGGGCTCAGGAGTCAATTTGAAGAGTCTCTCACTGGTCAAAGATGGAGTAATTTGAGTGCTAATTGCAACTAACTGAAACCCAACAAAGATTTTAAATCCATGAGTTCATAATGATATTGTAAAATAAATCCTACTTGTTTACCTTCAGGGAAATGATAGGAAACAAATTCATTATCTTGAAAACTGATAAATATAGGTAAAAATCAAGCATTTCTCTTGCCTCTCCTATAGGAACTATATTAAATCATATATAAGGGGAAACATCTTGCTATAAAAAGTATTCCAAGTAATACACTACAAGGACACATGCTAGAAGTGGGGAGTTTAAAATGGGATGGGTGGGAAGGCACCCCAATTCAGTTCAGAACAACTTTGTACATACAGTCTTTTACTTGCCTCATTGTATTATTTATTCAGAATAAGTTTCTAGAATTAGGATTGTAAGGGTAGAAGGGAATTTATATTTTTAAGGCTTGTACTTTGCTATGCTCATACTTAGAACTGGTACCTGATAATCATCCTACTAAGACTGCCATTGGGAATCCTAGGAAGATGGTAGTGGTAGTGGCATAGTTTTTTTAACTTTTTGAAATCCCAACCTAAGAATAGACAAAAAACTAGATGGGAAAACTAAAGTCCCATGGATAACATAACAAAACTACGTGCAAGGTATCTACACGAATTTCAAATATAAACAGGTGAGGTCAAACTACCAACAGTCACACAATCCACACGGTATCAGCATGGATGTGAGCAAAAGCAGGACATTTCTGTCAGAGCTGAGGATATAAAACCCCACAATAGGCAAGAGCAGGGTAGTGTATGGGACCCCTCATTAGGCTTGAGGCCAGAGCAGTCAAACCTCTGTGAACTCTCAAAACTGATCTGAAAGCCCTCTGTTCTAGGACAGGCCCACACTGAGGAAGAAGTTAGGGGAATGGAGTCAAAATTATGCAGGTATTGGGATAACAGGGATGAAGAGGGAAAGGGAACAGAGCCAGGAATCCCAGAAACCAAGCTGCCACATAGATGAACAGCACATGCAAACAGCACTAGAGGGAGTTTGTGAAGTTGGGAAACTGCCTGCCTTCTAAAGCCATACCTCCTTCTAAACACTGAGGGAGACTAATTTCACATAAAAATAAAGTTGCATTAGGAAGCAGCAGAAATTTTCTTGAAGAAAAAAAAAAAAGGTGCATAGTCATATAACTACAGATAATGAAAGTACCATAGAAAGAAAGCTCACAGGTCAAACTGATTTCAAAATGAGCTACAAGACATAAAGAAAATGATATGACAGGAAAGAACTTGTAAATCAGAATTAGAAAACCTCAGATATGAGGCTGTTTACAGAACTGAATAAAAGAGCTAACAGTAAAAGAAAATTCCAGAAATGAACAAATTATAAGGAACACAAGACCAAATAAAAACAACTGATATGTGTATTAAAAGAAGCAAAAGGCAGAAAGAGAAAAACATTTTTTTAAACCAAAATGAGATAAATAAAGATGAAAAGGATTTACAAGAAAGTGATATAGAAAGAAGATCCAGCATACAGATGATAACTATCCTTAAGGAATTAAACCAATAGAATGGAATGGAACAGATGCTAAGAATTATAATTTTAAAAAGCTTTCCTGAAATAAAAAAGGATCTGATATTCTGTATTTTGTTTGAGTGGTGGTTACACAACTATACTCAACTGTCAAAATGCATCAAACCAAACATCTCAAATATATATATTTTACTGCATGTTCATACCTCAAGTAAAAAATATCTTTTTAAAAACTTGAAACTACTTACTGAAAGAACAGACAGCTACCTGACAATACTGAACCAGAACAACCAACACCAGACATATTTTACTAATATTATTAGACATTAAAGAAAAAAAAAAAAAGAATCTTTGGGCAGTTAAACNGGAGGGAGGCTGTCACTCCAGGTGTGGGTGGACGCGGCTCACACGCGGTGACCACGGGGGTTGGTCACGTCTGAGGTGTCTGTGCTCCTGGGCAGCTGGCTCAGCCCAGTGAAGGCCGTCTTCCTACATTACCTGGTGATTCTCCTGCAGGGAACGGCACATTAAAGCAGGGGTGAGCTTCATCATGCTGAAGTCACTCCCTCCCTCACACGTCAGTCGAAGTGAAGCAATGTGCATCTTCAGCACAAGCATTAACACAGACCTGACAGGACGGGGAACAAGAGAAACCTGTTGAACTCTACCGTGTATGTGCAATCGGCAGACTCCAGCCTGGCAGAAATCCTAAAGGGGAACGAGCTCAGGTTCAGTAACAGATACAGTGCGAGGAAAAGAAAGGGACAGAGAGAAAACCTGTGGATTGAGAGGGATTTAAAAGGCATAACAAGTCCGGTAAAATGAGAGGGAGTGAACTATAGTGCCTAGGGAGGCACACTTGGATGGCAAAACTCTACGTGAGTTAACATAATACATTAAATACCTGCTTTTGGAGGGGGAGAGGGACTTGACAAGAGACTCTGGGAAAGGCTGGCAAAGTTCTTTTTCTTGGCCTGAATGGTATTTAAAAGGGTATTTGCCTTATAATAACCTTAACAATAATGCTAACTATACATTAGTTTTACAAGGCTTTTTGTGTCTATATTTTAATATAATGAAAAGGTTTTTTTTAAAAAAAATCATATTGAATCAATGGCCAAAGAGAACAGGAAAAGTAAGAGCTAGTTTTCCTTTTAAATTCATGCGGAGACAGCTTTATCAAATGAAATCATGCCAGTGACACCACTCATTTATTTGTTCATATAACTTTAAATTCCTAGCCAACATGGTGCTAGGACCTCAGGAAACACAGATGTATGGCCGAGTTTCCACCCTTAAGGATTTCAGTGTTTTTGCCCAGACAGATGTTTAAACAGATAAAAGTACTGGAGCGGTGCCCAGTGCCTTTATAGAGTAAGAAGCCAGGGCGCCAGGAAAGAACAACTGCCTGGGAGATTAGGGTGCTGACCAGAGAGGCTCTGAGCTAGGTCTTAAAATAAGACATTGCAGGCGAGGAAAGGGCATTTGGGCAGCTTTCCTGAAATCCTTAATCTCCGATCAGGGTCCACCAAACTTCTCCACCCCACAGTCATTATCAGATCACCCAAACTCTCCGCTTGGAAGTGCAGTCCCAGGCAGAGCCTGGGTCTTCTGTCCAGGAGATCGATCTCTTGGCTCATCTCCTCACGTGTCCCTCTGGACATCCCCATGCCTCCGTCCATTCCCCTTTCGCTCCCGTTAGATACTCTGGGGATTTCCTCTCCAGCTGGAGGCCTGGCTCCTCTGGTGCCCAGGGAGCCTGGTGGGCTTTCATTCCTGGTTGTCTGGCAGTGCAGAATCAGGAATTCAGTACACTGTCAAGTGAAAAGGGATGCTCCCAGGGGAAAGATAAATGGCTGAAAGAGAGAATGTGGGGCCAGTATTCAAAACAGCTACGGCCTGGGTTCGCGCCTCATGTAGACCCGCCCTCCCCCGGCCCCATGGAACGTTAGTTATTACATCGACAGTCAGCCTTCTTCCACGTTCTCTCACTGGACCGTATTTCCATGAGATGCACAGGTAAAACGGAGGGCTTCTTAAAAAGTCATAACCACAAAAATCACTTTTTATTAAGCTTAACACAGTGAATTTATTTTTTTTCATAAATTGGTTAGTCTGTAGCTTGAGGAAAGGCTGTTCCGCTTTACTCTGAGTAAGTTTTCGTTACTTCTGGCGGTGCTGGGTCTTCTTCGCTGCTGCTGGGTCTTGCTCTAGCTGCGGCATTTCGGCGTCTCCTATGGTGGCTTCTCTGGCCGCACGGCGCGGGCTCCGGGGGCCTGCGGGCTTCGGGAGGCTGCGGGGCTTCGGCTCAGGAGCCGGGGGCCCCGGGCTCTAGAGCACAGGCTCTAGTTGCGGCCTGTGGGCTTAGCTGACCCACAGCCTGTGGGATCTTCTGGGACCAGGGACTGAAGCCGCGTCTCCTGCACTGGCAGGCGGATTCTTAACCACTGAGCCACCAGGGAAGCCTTGTTTTGCTTTATTTTGAATCACGGCTTTTCTTGTCTTCCCAGACCCTGTGGTGAATGTTAGAAGCTAAACATCAACTCTTCCCCTGCTTTGTATTCCTTGTATAACATCCCTAATCCTGCCCACTCTCAAAGGACTGGGGACTCCATGGCTTGGGCTGACTAGAGAAAAGGCTATGTATGTGAAAAGCAGAAGAAAAGAAAGGGTATATATATACTTTAATTTTACTCATTTAGGCTGTGCTGGGTCCCTGATGCTTTGCGCGGGCTTTCTCTAGCTGTGGCGGACAGGGGCTACTCCTGATTGCGGTGAGCAGGCTTCCCACTGAAGTGGCTTCTCTTGTTGCAGAGCGTGGGCTCTAAGCACGCAGGCTTCAGCAGCTCGCACGCAGGCTCGGCAGTTGTAGATCACAGGCTCCAGAGCACAGGCTCAGCAGGTGTGGTGCACGGGCCCAGCCTCTCCGCAGCATGTGGAATCTTCCAGGACCAGGGATTGAATCCGTGATCCCTGCCTTGGCAGGTGGACTCCTAACCACTGCGCCACTAGGGAAGTCAGTAATGTATTTAAATACTGGATTATCCTTATTACTTTAAGTAGACCAGTTTCTTAATATTAGCATGTGCTCTAATTAACAAACAGATACAGCACTTAAAATCCATTTGTCTAATTCCGAGATCTCCTTTAAATGAAAGTAGACATTAACAAAAAGCAGAGAGCCTGATGCACTGTTAATACTCAATAATGCAACTGAAAGTTGTACAAAAGTATTTTTTGGTAGAATTAAGAACTGAAGATAATATGGCTGGGTAGCCACTTAAGGGCTATTTTTTTAAATTCTGAGATTTATAATATATATGTAAATTTCATCTGTACAATTAAAACTAATTATAAAGCAACCCTCTATATTACCATCCTTGTCAAGAAAGAACCACCAGCATGCCAGAAGCACCTCATCTGTCCATCCTTAATAATAACTCCATCTCCCTCTTAGAGGTAACCTCTAACCTAACTTTTTCCTTGCTTTTCTTGTTAGTTTTACCATTCATGCGTGCGTGCGTGCTAAGTCACTTCAGTCGTGTCCAACTGTTTGCAACCCCATGGACTGTAGCCTGCCAGGCTCCTTGGTCCATGGGATTCTCCAATCACTCATGCATAAATCCCTAAATAAAAAAATTAAGTTTTTCCTCTTTTGAGACTTTATATGAAGTGGACTTGGGCTTCTCTTGTGGCTCAGACTGCAAAGAATTGGGCTGCAATGCAGGAGACCCAGGTTCAACCCCTGGGTCGGGGAGGGTGGAGATCCCTTAGAGAAGGGAATGGCTAACAAATCCAGGATTCTTGCCTGGAGAATTCCGTGGACAGAGGAGCCCAAGGGCTACAGTCCATGGGGTCACAAAGAGTTAGACATGACTGAGCAACTAACACTTCACTTCAACCCTGAATATTCACTGGAGGACTGATGCTGAAGATGAAGCTCTAATACTTTGGCCACCTGATGTGAAGAGCCGACTCACTGGAAAGGACTCTGATGCTGGGAAAAATTGAGGGCAGGAGGAGAATGGGCGACAGAGGAAGAGATGGTTGAATGGCATCACTGATTCAATGGATATGGTTTGGGCAAACTCCAGGAAACAGTGAAGCACAGGGAAGCCTGGCCTGCTGCAGTCCATGGGGTTGCAGAGTCTGACATGACTTAGCAACTGAATAACAACAATGAAGGGACTCACATGGCAGGTGCTATTTGTGTCGTTTCTTTTGTTCATCACTGCCTATGAAACTGATCCATGTTGTCTATAGCTGGAATTCTCTCATTTTCCTGGTTTAATATTATGAATATTCTTAGAGAATTTATCCATTCATGTATTGATGAACACTTGGCTTTTTATTCCTAATATCATGCACAGAGTCAACATGTTTTAAAATAAATAATTCCAGTGCCAAAGAATGTTCTGCCCATGTCCTCTTCTAGGAGTTTTATGGTTTCAGATCTTACACTGAAGTCTTTAATCCATTTTGAGTTTATTTTTGCATATAGTTTGAGGGCATGAGGGTGTATTCTAATCTCCTTGTTTTACATAGCTGTCCAGTTTTCCCAGCACCACTTATTGAAGAGATTTTCTTCTCTCCGTTGTATATTCTTGCCTTCTTTGTCATAGATTAATTGACCATGGATTTATTGCTGGGCTCTTTACTCTGCTCCATTGATCTCTGTGTCTGTTTTTGTGCTTGTACCATGGCTGTTTTGATTACTGTAGTTTTATAGCATAGTTTGAAGTTTGAGAGGCTGATACCTACAGCTTTACTCTTTTTTTCCCAAGGTTGCTTTGGCAATTTGGGATATTTTGTGGTTCCATAAAATTTTTGTTGTTCCACAGAATTTTTTCTAGTTCTGTGAAAAATGTCATAGGTATTTTGATAGGGAACGCATTAAATCTGTAGGTTGCTTTGCATCTTTGTATCTGTTTCCTAAGGCAAAAGAAATAAAAGTGAAAACAAATAGCCTAATTAATCTTAAAAGGTTTTTTGCATAGCAGTGGAAACCATCTACAAAAATAAAGAGACAACCTACTGAATAGAATAAAATATTTGCGAATGATATGACTGACAAGGGGTTAATATCCAGAACATATAAACAGTTCATACAATTCAGTTTCAAAAAACCCCAAACAACCCTATCAAATGGGTAGAAGACCTTCATAGACATTTTTCCAAAGAAGATATACAGATGGCCAACAGGCACAGGAAAAGATGCTCTATATCACTAATCATTGGGGATTCCCTGGTGGCTCAGGAGGCAAAGAATTTGCCTGCAATGAGGGGAGTAGGTTCGATCCCTGGGTCAGGAAAATCCCCTGGGGAAGTGAATGGCTACCCACTCCGGTATTCTTGCCTAGAGAACTCCATGGACAGAGGAGCCTGGCGGGCTACAGTCCATGGGGTGGAGAAATATAAATCAAAATGATTGATTCATTGAGATATCACTTCACATCAGTCAGAATGGCCATCATCAAAAAGTCTACATATAACAAATGTTGGAGAGGGTGTGGAGAAAAAAGAACACTTGCATATTGTTGGTGGGAATGTAGCTGGTATAGCCACTATGGAGAACAGTATGGAGGTTCCTTAAAAAACTAAAAATAGAACTACAACATGATCCAGCAATTCCACTCCTTGGTATATGTCCAGAAAAAAAGCAAAAACACTAATTCAGAAAGATACATGTACCCCAGTGTTCAAAGCAGCACTATTTATAATAGCCAAGATATGGAAGCAACCTAAGTGTGCATCAACAGATAAATGAATAAAGATGTAGTGTATGTGTGTAAAGGTGTGTGTGTGTGTATATATATATATATATACACACATATATATATACATACACACACACGCACATATATATATACATACACACACACACACACACATATATATATATATATATATATAAAGAGATGTAGTGTATATATGTGTTTATGTAGTGTATATGTATGTGTAATATTCCATTTTGAGAATATTGAGAATATTGGTTACCATAAAAGTAACCACCATGGATATGGCTTGTTTCATTGACTTAGCTTTGAAACTTAAGAATGGTCAGCAACTGCAGTTTAGAAAATCTTGACAGTCAATATTCATCTCTCAATACACACTCAGTCATAAAGAAGAATGAAATACTGTCATTTGCAGCCATGTGGATGGACCTAGAGAGTATTATGCTTAGTGAAATAAGTCAGAGAAAGACAAATACTGTATGTTACATTTATATATGAATCTAAAAAATAATACTAACAAGTGTATATAGCAATACAGAGAGAGATTCATGGATATAGAAAACAAACTGTGGCTACCAGAGAGGAGAGGGGAAGCAGGGGAGGGACAAGGTAGGGTATAGGATTAAGAGATACATACCACTATGTATAAAAAAAAAAAAAAGGATATATTATATAGCACAGGGAATTATAGCCATTTTCTTGTAATAACTTCTAATGGAATATAATCGGTAAGAATACTGAATCACTATGCTGCACGCCTGAAACTAATATACTTTAAATCAACTATAATTTATTTTAAAATATAAAAAAAATAAAAAATGGTAGGTAGCATACATACTTTACTTTTATATAACAATAGTGAACATCTTAAAGATGCTGGTAAAACTAGAGCAGTAAGTTTAAAAAATTGATGTTGCAGGATTCAAGTCCAATTTCTACTTGACATTACTGTCTTCAGAAAATTATATGGAAATGCCCCTAAACTGTCTGATCATTCTCTTACCAGAGAGAATGCAAGGCAATTTCCCTAAACCTGGTAAAGTAATAGTTGCTTTCATTATAAACATCAGAATGAGTTTTATATTAAATTCAGAAACTGAATTTCAGCAGTTGAATTCTGATTTCTAGTTCAAACAAAGTTACACCTTTCATGCTTTAAAAGTTCTCCCATAATCGCAGAATTTTTGGTAAAAATGTTACAACTCTATAAATTTTCTTTCCAGCTACTTCCAGATTTTAAGAAAAATTGATCATAATATCTAAAAGCAATGACAAATATAATTTTGTTAAAACTCTCTGAATCTTTGCTTGGGCAGATTTCTTAGGCCATGCCATTTTCTGTGAAATGAATGGGTTACTCTCTATTCCACCAAAATGAATATGGAGTATCAATGTAATTATAAAGATACATTTGCACAATAATACTTCATTTGCATTTCATAAGATTTCAGGTCCTTATTCAGTGTGCAGTTTAACAAGCTAAAAGTAACCACCATGGGGATGGCCTAACTGTTTCCTTGGCTTAGCTCTGAAACTTAAGAATAGTCAGCAACTGCAGTTTAGGAAAATCTTGACAGTTAATATTCATCTCTCAATTATCCCCAGAATTTGATATAGTTCCTGAATGAAAACTTTTACTGAATTTCTCTTCTATTACTTCTGTGTTTTTGAGTTTGGAGGCAAATCTTATTTTATGCTGGAAATGGTTCTTCCTGCAAATGGTCTGATAATCACTGTATAATTCTTTTTACTTGTTAAATCTGCCCCCCAAAAAATCACTTTCCACAAAATCTTGGTCAATCCATGTAAGGTTTAAGATGAAAATTTACTTAAAGACTACTAACAACAAGCACAAATTATTTTCATTATCAATATTTAAGGCCACACATGTGCCAAGTAATGTGCTAGGTGGCCCTGGGGATAAAAGGTATGATGAGATAAAGTCCCTGCCTTCACAAACAGGAAACAACCTGTGAACAATTACAGAGTATTTTAAAGACTACAATAGAAGGGAAAAAAAAAAAGACTACAATAGAGGCCTGTGACGGGAAGGGTCTGTCCTTGAAAGGTATCTCCAAGGAAGCATTTTTAATAGTCACATTGGTAGTTTGAATAAAATATTACTGTCAAAACAGTACAAGAATGTTTACTGAGTTTAATATGCATACCTAAAAAAGGTATGCATTTCCTTTTACATTTTTAATTTCAAGTTTTTCCTTTTACGTTACCAATTTTCTTACCACACTTGTTTTTAACGATGTTAATGATAAACTAAAGCTAAATGTTTAAATAGTTCTAATAAGACTTTCCAGCTTATCTTTTTTAACAACCCAGTTGAGTGAAAGTTATATGAAACAAATAGAATATTTACAATTTGGAATATATTGATAAATATAATTGAGAATCCATGTAACCAAGCATTCTGTTTGTGCTCTATGTGTTATAATCAGTCAAGAAAATAAATGTTTTAATGACCTACTATGTATTGTCTTTCCTAGATGAAAACTTCTCAGTTCCTCATAATAAAAGGGGAGTTCTTGGAATGGTCAACAAAGGCCGTCACAGCAATGGGTCACAATTCTATATCACACTACAGGCTACTCCGTATCTAGATAAAAAATATGTGGCTTTTGGGTATGTGCATTTTAAGTTTGCTTATGTGATATTTATATATGTTAAAATGTGGTTCAAAAATATTTGGGTGAGTATTGTACATAGTCTACGAGTAAACTAAAAACAATTAAAAAACAAAAGTAATACAAATACTATAGACAAATATATTTAGAAATAAGTATTTCATGAGAAGCTTGCTTGGAGAAGGAAATGGCAATCCATTCCAGTATTCTTGCCTGGAAAATTCTGTCGACAGAGGAGCTTGGCAGGCTACAGTCCATGGGGTCGCAAAGAGACAGACATGACTGAGCGACTGAACACACAAGAAGCTTGCTATCTATTAAAAACACAGAAACTATTTAGCCATCACAATGTTCTGTGCATCCATTCATCCATGCTTTTGTGGGTCTTTAGCCTCAAGGATACTGTCAATTAAAGTGAATAATACCATAGCTCTTAATAATGTATATATATTTAGATGCAGAAGTGAGGCAAAGCCATTTAAGGAACTATCCATGAACACTGTGAAAAGAAAGATGACAGTCATCCAAGTTACAAGTAACTTTTTGTTACTGAGCAGTTTAAACTGTGGAACGTGTATGCATGCTTAGTCGCTCAGTCATGTCTATCCAATTCTGAGACCCCACGAACTGTAGCCTGCCAGTGTCCTTCATTCACAGGATTCTCCAGGCAAGAACAGTGGAGGGGGTAGCCATTCACTTCTCCAGGGGAACTTCCTGACCCAGGGATTGAACCTGGGTCTCCTGCATTGCAGGTAGATTCTTTACCATCTGAACTACCAGGGAAGCCCTTAAAATATAGAAATGTCTCAGGTAATAATTATTAGAATATTATTAGCAAGATGCATATAGGCATGTGGACCTAAAATGAATGGTGATGATACTATTATTTATCACTCCTGTGTTTCATATCTCTATTTGATTACTGAAATGAATATAAGTTGAAGCTTACTTAGTCTTTCCTGAAATGCTGTATAAAGTGTCAGAATGTTTCTGAATATTTAGATTATTCCAGCTACTCCATAGGGATAATTACTGACCCTTCATTCCAAGGAAAACTTCCAGGCCAATTTTAATTTTAAGCACAATTATTCCTTCAGGGTAATGTGGATGATATTTCCAGGTTGAAAAAGTATAAAATAAAGTATATTTTCAGCCAAAGGAGATTTCTTTAAAGAGGTAATACAGCTACATAAGCTAAAATAATGCATTTTCCTCTATCTTCCCTGGATTTAATCAACTATATTCTGATTTTGAAAATGCATTTTTCAGTATTTTTTAAGTCCAGATAATTCTCACAATTTCTTAGATCTTTTAAATATCTTCCTGTCATCTTCTGGCAGTATCACTGCCCTCAACCTATACTTAGATGATTCTTTATATCCTTCTGAAAAGAATCTTTCTCAAACACAGACTGTTTTGCAACATTACTGCCTCTTTCACCATCTCCACCCCCAGATGCATACAGCATCAGCATACAGTTCAGAGTGGCATTTTAGGTCCTCCACCCTCTGGCCCCCCATCTTTTTTCAGCCTTCACTGCTGCTGGCCTTCTGACCTATTCATTCAACTAGCATTTTATTAGGCTCCCACCAAATGCTAGCCCCAGTGCTCAGTCCCGGGGAAGGAGTGGTGAGGCACAATTTCTGCCTTCAGGGAGCCTATAATATGTTAGAAAACCCAGCAACCGTGAGACGGTGAACCATGCGACAGCAAGCTCTGTAAAAAGTGCGCTGGGAATACAGAAGGGAGGGCAAGGCAACAAATACCCTCCAGCTCCCTAGTAAAAGCCAACGCAGATCCTTACAGGACGGTAGTGAGTAGAGGAGTGTTTGGTCTCCTTTTGATGATTGCTTTTCCCATGTGATTCATCTTTGGGGGAATCTCTCCCCTGAATCATTATCACCAACACACTGGCCTCAGAGAGGCAGCTGCACCACTTTATTGCTCTAGCCTAAGAATAATCTCATTTTTTTCCCCCTGAAGCCTCCAAATAACAGCTGAGTCTGGGCTGAACTATTTAAACAAGACCTTGAGAAGGTTAAGGGAGAAGCAGAAAAGTAATACCACAGTAGGCAACTAGATAATCCAACAAAATAGAACCAACTCCTTCAGAGATATCCTCCTTCCCTGCTGTGGGGCTGCTTTTTTTTCCCTGTCATCACAGAGCACCCCCAGCTTCATCTGAGCTTCCAGAAGCTCAGACATGGCTGGCAAAGTCCAGAGAGATACAGAAATTTCCTCTCCCATTTGAGATAGACCTCCATCCAAGCTCTCGTTTCTGGTACATTACCTTGCCTTGTCTTCAGAAGGATAACACTGGGAATGCCCTTTGGGGAGGCTGTGTCAACCCACAGCCGGTCTTGTTGATGCCCTTGCCCAGTGGTTTCATGGGGAAAGAATATCAAAATACAAGTCCATTCACACAAAGGTAGAAGGGATATATGTTGGGAATAGTGCTAGGGAGGAATTAATTGCACTATAAGGGACCCCTAAAGTGGGGAGGAGTCATAGAAAGTTTCATGAGAAGGTGAAATGAGGACTGAAAGTCATAGAGAAGTTAGGCAGATAGAGCACACTGGACATCAAAATGAGTAAAATCAATTTTGGAAGGAGTGAAGAGCCTTTGCAGACAGACCTGAGGAGTAAGGAGAGTGTCCTACCTACCAGTCACTTAGCCTGGCTAGAGCTCAGTGCCCAGGAGAAACGGAGAGAGCGGTGGCTGGAGAAGATGAGATGGCCAGGGCCCAGCTCTCCAAGGGCTGCTGAGCATGGACCCCCGCCTGAAGGCCCTGGGAAGCCAGGGAAGAATTTTAAATTAGGAGCAACATGACCAGGTTTTCATTCTGAAAAAAAATATCTTTTGAGCAGAAGTGAGGGATTAATTAGCAAAGGATGAAAATGAAGGGAGAAAGGCCAGTTAACAAGTGATGGTAACAGCAGGCCATGAAGTTTTCATTTAAGGCACTGGAAGTACATATGAGCAGGGGATAAATGAATACAAATTCAAGAGGTATTTGGAACTTAGATTCAACAAGACTTTATGACTATTTAGATGGTGGTGGTGAGGTTATGGGAAAATTCTAGAGCAATGATACCTAATAGAACTTTCCACAGAGATGGAAATATACTAGGATCAGTGCTGCCCAATATGATAGCCCCTAGCCATATAGAGCCACTGAGCAGTTGGAATGTGGCCAGTGCAACTGAGGAACTATATTTAATTAAATGTAATCACCACCTGTGACTAGTGGCTACCATACTGGGCAGTGAAGAGCTGGAGGAACGCCGAGGATTTTGGAACTGCTTGGATGGTTGGTGCCATTCACTTCAGCAGAGAATACAAAAAGGAAGATATGGGAGAGAAGACCATGAATTCAAAATGGACAAGTTATGCTTCAAGTGAGGACAGCTCTATGACAGGCAGGTGGCAACAGCTCAATACCAGAAGTAAGGGATTCAAGCTGGGCCAGGGCTGGAGATGTACATTTGGAAGCTTTGAACATGGCAGCTGAGCTGCAGCCAGACCCAGAGTACCATCCCTCCCAGAACACCCTCTGGGCCTCTGCTTGTCTTGTTACTTTCTGCCTTCCTTCAGTCTGCCAAAATCCCATTCAGGGCTTAGGTCACAAATCCCCACCAACTACCAAAATCAAACTGCATCCTTGTCCTCTTTGGCATAGTGTGAACAACTGGAAATAGGGGCTGGGCCTCACTTACCTTGTGCCCTAACACCTGGAGAGGTGCATACAGTAGGTGCTCATTCCATGTCTATGAAACCAATTTGGAGACTAGGCTTCACATCCTCTTTGGACAAAGGTGAGTCTGTCCATTTCTTCCCTGCTCTCTATCTTGAGAATATACTTTTTGTCCTGCTCTGTCATGTTTTCTAATTGGGATGGAAAAAATACACCCCTCCACCAAAAGAAAAAAAGAGAGAGATGACTAGCACATGGTCAGTGTCAGCACTGTGTCCCCATAAAGGATTGTGAAATGGAAATCACCCCTTCTCCTCAACCGCTGCCTCAACCCAAACCCTGGCAGGGGGCATAGTCCTATGTTTAGGGCTGACTCTGGCCCCTGCTGCCTTTTTTTTAGTTGCGAGAACCATCAGCTGTCTAGTCCCACTCAGGGAGTTCTGGCTTGTGGCCACTGAATGAGTACAGAGACTCAAACTAGCGCGGCTTTGGGCTGCCTTTAATTCATGTGTTCAGTGGATGCCGATGAGGTGCCTCCTCTGTGCCAGGCACTGAGCAGCAATAAGCGACAGCATGATCTCTGCCCTCAGGGGAGAATCAGAAATTAACTCATGAAGCATAGAAACAAGTGTCAAACTTATCCCTGATCACTCCTACAAAGAAGGGGAACTTGATCTAAGTAGGGTGGGGAAGCAGGGTAGTGTCTAGGAAACATCCCCTATATATGACATCCCACCCGCTATACACGTGACATCACAGCCACTCAGCGAGTGGCTGGGTGAGAGCCGAAGGCAGGCAGAGGGGGTGGGAGGCAGGACAAGGCAGACAGCCGTGGCAGGAAGGGCACATGGGGGGCTGAGGTGCTGCCAGCTGGTCCAGCTGGTCCAGCTCGTGCCGAGAGCAAGGGAGCATGCTGCAGGGCGCCCTCAAGGGAGCGGGGAGGTGGGTGATGGTAGAGACCTTCGGTCTTTAGCCTAAGGATAATGGGAAGTTATTGAAGTGGGGAGGTGAGACTACATTAGCATTTTTAAAAGATCACTCTGGCGGCAGGGAGGATAACAGACTGGAAGAGACCCGGAGCAGGTGTGGAGAAACTGACAAGAGTACACACATCTAGAGCAACTCAAGATATTTATGACTGAGGTTAGTTTAATTTGTAGCCTTGGCTAAGCTAGACAGGACTCAATTTAGGAATGTAAGGTATACGTGAAACTTGACAGGTTTTTTTTTCCATTTTTTTTCTCTGACATAGGCAACTGATTGAAGGAACAGATGTTCTTCATCAACTAGAATCGGTTCCAACAGAGAATGAAAGACCAATACAAAACTGTGTAATTACTGACAGTGGAGAGCTTTATGCCTGACTTTCCTATCAGTATTTTCTGACAGTTTTATTATTATATATCTGATCAGCTGTTTCTAGATTTAATTAAATGGTGCTTGATAAAATTTAATTTGAAAGCTGTGGCAGATGCTGTAGGGTAGCTCTCCAACACCCACTCCCTCCCCATTTTCCTTTCTTATCTAAAGCAAAATACACAATTTTCCAGCTTTCTTTGCGTCAGGAGTAGCCATAAGATACTGTATCGGCCAGTCAGACAGGAGTAGGATGCCAGTGGTCCTGCCCCTTCCCTCCTATCCAGTCTTGAATGCAGAGAGGCTGGAGCCATGAAGGAAAGGCTAAGAGAACCACAAAGATATTAGCTCCAGTTCTTGATCTGTAAGGACCAATAACAGCACCTATCTATGTCTCGACTTCTTACTATATGAGACAAATAGACTACTGTTTGTTGGTTGGTTGATTTTGTTACTTGTAGCCAAAACCATTCTTAACTTAGCAGCACTACTTAATGGCCTTGAATCCTAAAACATTTGTAACTATAATAGAATTATGTTGCTGTTTATATTTCTCCCATAAGAAGCTTGGTAAATAATCAAATATGAGAGGCAACAGAATAAAATTCATTGTAATATTTGTTTAAAACAAAGCATTCAGAAAAGGGTATACACTTTGGATGTTTTTATGCGTAAAATGCTTGTCTCTGAGTCATACCAACCATGTGAAAACCAGGCACTTGAGTTACAGTCCCTATGGTGGTAGATTCCTGAGATGCTATTGGGATCCAGTTTTATCAGCTGCTCCTTAAGCTGCTGCTGTTAAGTCACTTCAGTCGTATCTGACTCTGTGCGACCCCATAGACGGCAGCCCACCAGGCTCCACCGTCCCTAGGATTCTCCACGCAAGAACACTGGAGTGGGGTGAAATTTCCTTCTCCAATGCATAAAAGTGAAAAGTGAAAGTGAAGTTGCTCAGTTGTGTCCAACTCTTCGCGACCCCACGGACTGCAGCCCACCAGGCCCCTCCGTCCATGGGATCTTCCAGGCAAGAGTACTGGAGTGGGGTGCCATTGCCTTCTCCAGCTCCTTAAGCTAAGAGGTGTCAACTAGGGAACTTTTTCAACACTGGTGGCTGGAACGTATCCTTGAGCCACAGTCTCTAAACATGGGACACAGATCCTTGGAATGCACGCAGCTCTCTCCCCAGAGGTTCTTATTTAGTTGCCTGAGCACTGGTCACTTGGGAATCACTGCAAGACACAAGCGGCAAGTCTCAGCCCCTCCTTGGTTAGTGCACGCTTGTCTGCGTCGGTGGTGACCACTGTTTGCACCACCGCTGCCACACTGCTGCTCTGCCCAGAGCCACCACACTTTTCTTGAGCCTAACTGAAGGTTTGTCTTCCAAGAGCAATCTCTCTCTGAGCCAATCTTCAGGAGACAGCCCTCTAGTTGACTTGGGTTTTGCCAAAGGGAGGCCAAGGATTTAAAAATTTTTTTTTAGTTTGAAATGATTATAGATTCACAGGAAACTGCAAAAATAGAATGGTCCTGTGTACTGATCACCATTTCCCCAGAGGTCCTATCTTTATGAGTGAAAGATGCTCATTTGTGTCCGACTCTTGGCGACCTCATGGACTGTAGCCCACCAGGCTCCTCCATCCATGGGATTCTCCAGGCAAGAATACTGGAGTGGGTGCCATTTCCTTCTCCAGGGGATCTTCCTGACCCAGGGATTGAACCTGCGTCTCATGCATTGCAGGCAGATTCTTTACCATCTGAGCCACCAAGGAAGCCCATCTTATACTAAAGTACAATATTAAAACCAGGCCATTGACAGAAGAGTTGTCATTTTATCCTGTGTAGATCTGCGTGACTGGCACCACAATCAAGACACAGAACTTTTTCAGCACCACAAAGACCTCCCTTCGCTAGCCCTTCATAGTTACACCAACGCCCCTGCTTCCCGCCATCCCATTCTGCCAACCGGTATCTATGGATCTATCCATCTGCCTCTCTCCCCCTCCCTCTCTTCCTTCCTAATAACAGCTTCACTGCTACTGTGATGGGGCTCCATCCTCAGCTCTGAGGTGGATGAGGAAGACGCGTGCTGCCTGTGTCAGACTGTCAATGATCTGGGGGTTGCAGAGTACGAAGAATGCGTGTTCTGGAACCAGAGAGCCAGAGTTAGAGTCCTGGCTCTGCCCCTCCCTCGCTGCATGAATGTAGGCAAGAACTTCGCTGTCTTTTTTGCCTCATCTCAAAACAGTAGAACCTACCACACAGGGCTGCTCTGAGGGTTCAGGGAATCAGTACTTTGTAGACAGNCTGCATGAATGTAGGCAAGAACTTCGCTGTCTTTTTTGCCTCATCTCAAAACAGTAGAACCTACCACACAGGGCTGCTCTGAGGGTTCAGGGAATCAGTACTTTGTAGACAGGATCTAGAATACTAACTGTTATGCTATAAGTGCTCAACATATGTATGATTGATAAATTCCTGGTGTATGACCTTCAGAGTGTTGTCAAGGAACTTGCATTTTAAAAAACTCCTCAAAGACTGATTAACAGCAGATTTGGAAAACACTGAAGAGGCGGTATCTCCTTTTTCTCCACTCTGAGGACTTGCCCCCTACCTAAGCACCCCAGCTCTTTGTATTTGGAGGGGTTCCTCCGGTCACACTGGTGACACCTCAAACAAAGGGGTGCTGAGCTTGCCATAGAGAGTCTCAGCAACTCCTGAAGCATGTGATAAATCAAACTGACGCTGTGCAAAAGTGCTGGTTAAAACAAATTACAAGCATTAGTCATGTAATAAGCAGCAGCAGAACAATTCTTACTGACAGCGAGAATTAAGCATCTAATATTGTCAAAGAACTGGGGTATCGGCATGGACATAAGAAACTCTTTATATTTCAGTTTAGCTGCAATGTAAAGGTAAAACCCCAGCGACCATCTAAAGGACGGCAAGTCCACGGGCCCTCTGCTCTCACTCCCCACTTGCAGGGTGTGTGGAAACTTTAATCACAGATCTGTACATGCAGTGGTTCTTATTATCATCATTTAAAGGTACACACACTGATACTTCTGTATTAGAATATATTCTCTCTTAGAATGATTTATATGTTTAACCATAACATTTGGAGAAACTGTTACAAAGGACACAAGCTTATCCAACTAACTCCAAATATAAGACTTTGATTTAACCAAACTGCAAAGATTTTGATTTGCTTAAACAGAAGGAATTCTAAATTTTTCCAAGTCCACAAATACAAGAGTAAGGGCATTCTGATGATTTTATACAAAATGCTAGTTATGCAACCTTGTCCTAATTGCTGATATGGCAACGGCAAGTACATATGCTGTATCTTACAGCAAGCCATGTTGATAAGCAGAGTGTGGTATCTGTTCATTTTGGAGGGGGAGATTTGAGATAAACGTTTAAAGTTCTACCTAAAGAACATGTTTTCCTCAACTCCAAACAATGCCAGCTATTTGTTAATGAATGAATAGGCTGGCAACCTCAGGATTCCATGCTCAAGAGTATTTACATTTTATATATATTTAAAATCAGGTGTGTTTGTTTTAGTCCCAGCTAGTTAGCAAAATGGTGGCCAAATCACTTAACTTTGCATTTTCTTCATTTGTTGAAAGAAGTAAAGAAGCTTGTCAGCTCCCCTCTGGCTCTAATACTGTGGTGGTTCCCTGAGTACATTTACATGATAAATAACAACACTATAATTTACTTTTGGGCTTCAGTTTCATTAGTAAAATCGGGGCACATCTCATAATGGCTTGAGGATTGAGCTAATTTGTGAAGACACCTCTAATGATGCTTGACACAAAGCATAAATTCAACGAAAGCTGGTTTCCCTTCTGGAATGTCAACCCACAAAAACCAGAGAAACTGCCACTGGCAGAACATTATTATCATTTCAAGAACAACAAATCCCTGTTACGCTCAGGGTTAGCTATTCTCACGAACATACTAATTTCCAATTGACTGAATTAACTCAAAGGTATATCCTCAAAATTAAAATCAATCTCTATCAACCTGTGATAGTCTCTCCCTCATGGAAACTCACTTTTTAAACTACTATATTGCTTATACCATCCACTACCCTTCCCAAATGGAATCATGCCTTAAACTAGCAAATCTAGTCAGTCCATATCTCCAGTAAGTTTCATACATCATACAAAATATTTGTAACAAACTCAGTAGTAACACAACATGAAGTCTGACACTTTAAAGGGGNAACTACTATATTGCTTATACCATCCACTACCCTTCCCAAATGGAATCATGCCTTAAACTAGCAAATCTAGTCAGTCCATATCTCCAGTAAGTTTCATACATCATACAAAATATTTGTAACAAACTCAGTAGTAACACAACATGAAGTCTGACCCTTTAAAGGGGGCTTTGAAAATGTGATGAATCGTAACTTCTTCAGTGTGCATCAAAATGCTGGAGCCTATAAAACCACAGATTCTTGGGCCTCACACCAGTCTCTGGTTCAGTGGATTAGGAGTGAGTTGGAGAATTTGCATTAACATGTTCCAGGTGATGCTGATCTGGAGACCACACATTAAGTACCACTGGGGACTTCCTTGGTGGTACAGTGGACAAGAATCTGCCTGCCAAAGCAGGGGACACGGGTTCAATTCCTGGTCCAGGAAGATCCCACATGGCGCAGAGCAACTAAGCCCGTGTACCACAACTACTGAGCCAGCACACTTAGAGCCTGTGCCCTGCAACAAGAGAAACCACTGAAATGAGAATCCTGCACACCGCAAGGACGAGCAGCCCCTGCTTGCCGCAACTAGAGAAAGCCCACTCGTAGCAGCAAAGACCTAGTGCAACCAAAAATAAAAATTAATTAAAAAAGAACCACTGGACTGTACTGAAGTCATAGATACACGAGAGACTTGGGGCATACAAGTATGCAGAACAAAGATAAAAGTTACTAAACACTGAAGTGTGACAACAGAAAAGAATGAGAATTCCCTGCTAGTCCAGTGGTTAGGACTCCGGGCTTCTACTGCAGAGGGCTGGGGTTTGATCCCTGGTCATGGAACTAGGATCCTGCAAGTGGCATGGCCAAAAAAACCCCAAACCACACACACACACAAAGAAAAGAATGAAAAATGATAAGACAAGAAACTGCTTTTATCAAGGCAGAAGAGAGGTATGCAAACACTAGCCGATCACAGGGGACAGCAACTAGAGGCCTGATGCAGGGTCCCAGAGCTCTTGGATGGGTTGGAGGTGAGCCCTCCGCTGGTGGAGAGGCAACGGGGCCAAGTGTGGTCAGAGAAGGTGGGGACCCTTGGGCTGCTCAGGGTAGTGCCCTTCACCATTCAGAACAGAATCACTTGAGTATTTTTAAGAAGCAGAATATGTATCAGGGTGAGTTGTGGCTGAAAAGCAGCACTCCAAAATTAGGGTTAGTTCAGTTCAGTTGCTCAACTGTCTGACTCTGCGACCCCACGGACTGCAGCATGCCAGGCTTCCCTGTCTATCACCAACTCCTGGAGCTTGCTCAAACTCATGTCCATCGAGTCGGTGATGCCATCCAACCATCCCAAAAACAAAAAATTCACAACATGTCCTGCTCGATGTAATTTTGTAGAGGATTCACCCCTACATACCGCAGCCACTCAGGAGGGTAGAATAGTTCTCCGTGGGTTAAAGTGTAAAGCAGTCTTCTTAGACTTTAATAGGTGTATGTTTTGATCTGCATATGGAAAAAAAATGCAGACTGTGATTCAGGAGGTTTGAGGTGAGGCTTGACATTCTGCGCTTATAACAAGTCTTCAAGGGCCATGAATGGTACAGGTTCATGAGCCACACTTTGAGAAGAAAGAGTAAAGCAGTGCTTTGCAACCTAAGCTGCAGAATAAAAACATCTGCAGAGCTTTTAAAACTCCTGATACCCGAACTTCATTCTGCTTTTCAAAACTTGCTAGTGGTTCTTATGTGCAGCCAAGGTTGAGAACAACTGCTAGAAAATGTAATGCTTCCCCATGAAACCCTGGAACAATTATCAAAGCAATATCCACAGTCAAAGTAGAGAGCATCTCTAATATTTTATCACCAACTCTAATCACAATGTTAACATTAAGAATCTGAATATACAGTTTTAGCTCACTATTAATTTTTGACTTATTACAATCCTTCACAAAATTTGTTGAAAGTTAAGGTTTAAAACATGTTAAAACTGTATTATATGCATGTAAATCAATGAAGTTGGAACACTCCCTCACACCATACACAAAAATAAACTCAAAATGACTTAATGTCATGACACCATAAGACTCCTAGTAGAGAACATACGCAAAACATTTTCTGACATAAACCGTAGCAATGTTTTCTTAGGTCAGTCTCCCAAGGCAATAGAAATAAAAGCAAAAATAAACAAATGGGACCTAATAAAATATATAAGTTTTCGCACAGCAAAGGGAGTCATAAACAAAACAAAAAAACAACCTATGAACTGGGAGAAAATATTTGCAAATGAAGCAACTAACAAGGGCTTAATTTCCAAAATATACAAACAGCTCATACAACTCAATAACAAAAAGAATGAACTGCATCAAAAAATGGACAGAAAACCTAAATAGACATTTCCCCAAAGAAGACATACAGATGGACAACAGACACCCGAAGAGATATTCAACAATTACAGAAACATAAATCAAAACTACAATGAGGTATCACCTCATACCGGCCAGAATGACCATTATTAAAGTCTACAAATAACAAGTGCTAGAAAGGGAAAAAAGGGAACTTTCCTACACTGTTGGTGGGAAAGTAAACTGATATAGCCTCTATGGAAATGGTATGGAGGCTCCTTAAGAAACTAAAAATTTAACCGTAAGATTCAGCAATCCTACTCCTGTGCATGTAACTGCACACAACTGTAACTAGAAAGGATACATGCACCCCACTGTTCAGAGCAGCACTATTTATAACAGCCAGAACATGGAAGTAACTTAAATGTCCCCTGACAGAGGAGTAGATAAAGAAGACATGGTGCATAGATCTATTAATACAATGGAATATTACTCAGCCATAAAAAGAATGAAGTAATGCCATTTGCAGCAACATGGATGGACCTAGAAATTATCACACTAAATGACGTCAGGCAAAGACAAATATCATGTGAGATCACTTACATGTGGAGTCTAAAAAATTGTACAAATGACGTTATTTACAAAATGAACTCACAGACATAGAAAAGAAACTTATGGTTACCAAAGAGGAAGGGGTTTGGGCAGATAAACTGGGAGTATGGGATTAACACATGCACACTGCTACATGTAAAAGAGATAAACAAGAACTTAGTGTATAGCACAGGGAACTATAAAAAATATCTTGTAACAAACTATAATGGAAAAGAATAAGAAACATATATACATATATATGTATAATTGAATCACTTTGTTCAGTGAAAAAGCACAACGCAGTAAATCAACTAAATTTCAATTTTTAAAAATCCTGTATTTTAGATGCCAGTCCTTGATCTGAAATGGTGAAAAAAACTTTTGTTGAAGTTCTTGATCTAGCTCAACAGATGCCATGTAAAAAAAAAAAAAAATTAAAAAGAAAAAAAACTGGTGATGCTTTTCTAGTCTTAATTCAAGAAAGTGAAATGTCCCCCTAAAAAGACTAACAAAAATGTGAGGACAAGAGGTAACCACCGAGATGGCAACTTTTAAAACAATGGCCTCCACAGTGAGGTGTGTTCATTTTAGCTTGTAAACAAGACAATCCATCGAGCTATTGGAAGAAAAGAGAACTTATATTTTTAACCTTAAAAATAATAACGGTTGACTAGTGGCCTTCATTTGCTCTAGAGTCAGGTTATGCTCTAAATAAACACCGTGTGAGGGATATCCTAAGAGAAGAGATACTTTTTTTTGTTTGAAGACGGATGAGGCCTCACTTACTTGGCTGTACTCTGATGCTTCTTGCCATTGGTTGGATCAGTCAAAAACTGAGTTTCCTGTTTACATCCAAGCAAATCTCCAACTAGCGTAGTTGATGGAACAAAAGTTCATAGTCGGGAGGGTACTGATTGGATTTTAGGGTTGGGTTAGGAAAGACTTCAAGTTTAGATTAAAAAAAAAAAAAATGCATATGCAGTCTTTTTCGGGGTTTGCATAGCAAAGCAGATCTCACAAAAGCAACTGATGTCCTATTATTTTAAAGGGTTAATGTTTGTAAGAAAACTAGAGGATAAATACAAATAGTTGAAAATAAGAGTTAGATAGAGCTTTTATGACCGAACCTTAACCACTTATCAAGCATGGCTGCACTTGTATATATTTTTGTGAGACTGGACATCAGATGGCGCTCATCCTCACTAAAAGGCTGAGCCGTGATAGGCAGTTTGAAACACAGCCCTGAGGCTAAGCAACTGCGCCTTTCGGTCACGTCTCTTGAATCTCGGGTGTTTTCACCTGTAAAGTGGGAGTGGGAACAGACCGGATGAACCTCCGACCCATGCTGTCTTTGATTCTTCGACTACAAAGGTGGAACTGACTAGCTGTTTCTACCACTGGCTGAAACCCCCACGATTTCAGGGTGAGAAAGCGTGACAGAAATAGTGTGCGGCACCGGCAGACTGCTTTAGGTGTTTCAGCCGCTCTCACTACGTGGGCGGCGGAGCACAAACTCCTTAAACGCGTGGGGTCTCCATCTCCCTGGGGTGTCCAAACGCAAGGTTACTTTCAGCGAAATCGACTTTCAAGGGGTAATGCACGGGTCCTACGAAGGATACCTATGCAAGCACGCTGGGAACGCCGGAGGACAGTAAAAACTTAACTCTTGCCGGGGTTCTAAGCGAAACGCTCGGAAACAACTTCCGCCCAGCGCGAATCCGTCCGGGAAAGCACCGCCCCAGAGGTCACATGGGGCCTAGCAAGTCTTTCGCGAGGATGCCGTCGCCACGTCATGTAGGTTGTTCCGAGTCAAGGTGGGATCCATCTCTATTGCAGAAACGAGAAAAGCCCAGCGCGCCCTGTGTGGCAACCTGAGGGCAAAGTAAAGAGTTTCCTGTATTTGGCCAGTTTCTTCGATTGGCCAGTACAGTCTGCTGAGAGAAAACCTTTCCTCGGTTTCCTCTCGGTTCCTCCATCCCCCCCTCCAAGAGGATTCCACTTGGTATCGCCGGCGCCCCGCCTTCGCACGCCGCCCTCTTGTGACGCCGGCGCGCTCCCGCTGGGGGAGCGGAGTCTCGGAGGCGGCGCTGCAGTGGACAGAGGGACGGACGGACGCAGCCTAGGGTGTCCCAGCTTTCGCTCTAGCGCCAGCGCGGAGGACGCAATGTCTGGGCTCTCTCGCCCGCTGCTTCTGGCCGTCGGCTGCCTGGCCGCGCTCTGCGTAATCACCGCGGCTGGGAACACCACCCTGGCCCCGAACGTGACTACACCCTCGTCTCCACCGCCCACCACCACGACAGTCCCGGTGTCACCGACGACTCTCACGCCGCCGCCGGTCACCACTCCAGCACCAGGTGGGCGCCGGCCCAACGGGCTTTCTGCGCTCGCCCGCCCGCCAGTCGGGCCGAGCCGCCCTCTCTGTGTGGTGCGCGCGGGCCGGGGCGGGCCGCGGTCCGGCAACATGGCGGCCCGTCCGAGTCCGGCTGGGACCGGGCCGAGGTGGCCGCGGTTGCGGAGTGCCGTGGTTGGAAGGGTTGGTGGAGCCGCGGGGGCGTAGGTTTGTTTGCGACCCCACTGTTCCGCGCCGACGTGTTGTTTAAAAGCGCCTCGTAATCCCCAGCCTCACTCCGAAGAGAGGACGTGGCTTCCTTCTGCGGTGGCGGCAGTGAGGTTGATTGTGGGGCGAGGCGACCGCCTCCAAAGTTGGCGATGAGACCCAACTACCTCTCCCCGAGGTTAGTCGTTTGTGTCCACTCGGGCAACACAGGTCGTCTTTTCGAAGGGAGGTTTCTCCCGAAGTTGGCGAAAGAAGGAAAGAGACGCTGGGAGACAAAAATACTCGCTGGTGTCTCAGTCCTGGGTCTGAAAAAATTAGTCGCTTGAGAGTTAATTATATAGATTTTGCAGGGTATATCCGAAGTTTGAGCATTTAATTAATTAAAACTTTATACTCGGTGTTGTGTGCAAAGGAGGAAAAGGACCCGTTTGTGTACCCGGTGTTTTGCGTATATCTCTTAGTATTTTAGGCTACACTGGAAGATAGGTGGTGAAACCTAGGAGCTGGATGGAGATAAAGTAATTCTACTAGAACCGTGTGTTTAGAGATTGTGAAGCTGACATTGGAACCCAGGTCTATCGATTTTTCAGAACCCAATCGAGACCTTCTGTTAAGCTCTGACTCCATTTGGGGACTGGTACGCTGAGTCTTGCAGCAAAGTCAGTGTCATGACAACACGCGCAACAGAGGGGGAGATAAATCTGAGTTAATAAAAGTGAAGACCCTCCCTAGATATTTAAAACTTGGAGTCCAGTTTGATTGGTTATCCTAGTTAATACTGGGTAAGGTGCAACGTTGACCTAAGAATTGCTGCAGTCTAAGAATTTTTACCTTTTCCCCCCAGGCCGATCTATTTGAAAATATCTTCTCTAGTTTTTGTGTTTTATAGGGGTTTAAGTAAAATATATAATGAAAGATTTTAAACGTCTTTTAATGAGGAAAGTAAATTGCAGTACAATACTGGATATTCTAACCGCACTATTTCCGAGATGATAGAGCAGAATTTGTTTTGTGCTCTTTTAGTAGTTTCCTCCTAAAATTTTTTTATTTTTTGGTAGGGTGTATGTGTGTTTGAAGAGAGGTTTGGAGATACGTTAATTGCATTTGTGTATTTTGAAATGAGTGCAAAAGAGATGATTAGTCTCTTCTGTTAAGTGGTGGTTGGATAAGCTACAGTCTGAAAGGCAGCAGTTTAGTTCATTGTAACACACACTATGCTAACCAGATATTCATCACAAGCACAAAAGATTTTAAACAGCTAGCGTTTTTCAGGTGTATACAAACCTCTGAACTTATTTCTACTTTGTGACTCTCGTCCTACCCCCCCCAAAATACGATATTTGTTCCAATTTCTGATAAATATTGAAATGCAATTCCTCTTTGCAGAACTCTTTTTTTAGGCAGGGGGAAAGCAAATGAGAATATTTTTGGAGGCACCTAGCTTCTAGGAAAATGTGTAGAGCCCAGTTCTATAGTCCAGACACTGAATTGTATTTCACCTTCTACGATGTTGTTTTAGGACTGTTTGGCTTAAATTATTGACAAAGACCATGCTAATTTGTTAAATTTTGTGAATGTAGCCCCGTCCAGGTGAGTTGTCTCTTATCCTCTCATGGAAAACCCCAGAAAGCGTGGATCATTTGTGAGTTTATGATCTCAGGTTTTTCAGAATAGACATCATCGGAGCTTGGGTTCAACCTATAATAAATATTTATTACTATTAAAAATTCCAGTTCACATCTGATATTTGGGGGTGGTGATTTCCCTGTATGTAGCCTTTTTTCCAATATTTTTCTTTTTTAGAAATGCGTCAAGAACCTGAGCATCTGAACCTTTTGCTGTGCACAAAGGGGTTGTTTAGATGGGACCATGAAGTACTGAGCATTACCACTAGCTTGAGCTTTGTCCCCCCTTGTCTTGAGTTGCCTTCTGGTTTCATAAGTCTTTTATAATGATTGGAAAGAATTTTTGAGTAAACCACTTTATAGGTTTTGTTTTTTTTAATGTGTCTAGTTTAAAAACACATAAGATCTACCCTCTTAATAGCTCTTTTAAAGAATATTTTTATTCTTTATTTTTGACTCTGCGGGGTCGTCCTGCTTGCTAGGTGCCAGCTTTTTTCGTCCCTCCAGCGGGAGCCCCCTCAGTGGAGTGACTTCTCTCGTTTCGGAGCACAGACTCCAGGTGTGCCGTTTTGATGCCGGGGCTTAGTTGCCCTGAGGCATGTGGGATCTTCCCTGGTCAGGGATGGAACCAGTAACCCCAGCATTGCAAAGCGGATTCCAAACCACTGGACCAACAGGGAAGCCCTCTTAAGAGATTTTTAAGTGTACTGTACCATGATAAACTATAAGCACAGATCTCCAGGAGCTTTCGTCATGTTTGAAACTTTGTACTCACTGAACAGCAAACCTCCTTTTTCCCTCTCTCAGCCCCTGACAGCCACCATTTTACTTTCGGCTTCAGACTTTGACTATTTTAGATACTTTATGTAAGTAGAGTCATTCCGTGTTTGTCCTTCTGTGACTGGATAATTTTATTCATCATAATGACCTCAAGGTTCATCCATGTTTTAGTGTATAACAGGATTTTTTTTTTAATGGCTGAAGAATAATCTATTGTGTAGCACATTTTTATCCATTCATCTGTGAGTGAGTTATAGTTTTATGATTTCTCTGAATAAGTAAGTTTGATAATGTATGCAGTGCTTGCTGTTGTTTAACAAAGGTAAGTAGTACAAACTTGAAATTAGATACCAGTTGATTGATTTTATATGTTTTAATTCCCACCCCTAGATATCTGTGGAAGCCGAAACAGTTGTATTTCCTGTTTTGATGGTAATGCTACCTGCTTTTGGATAGAATGTAAAGGTAAGAATCTTTGGGTTTGCTTTAATTTTGAGAATGCTATATTGTTTTGTTCTAACATTTTAAAAAATTGCTGCAAGGTATTCTTGAACATTTGGAAATGTAAAACATTTAGGATGGTGGGCACTATTTGTTTTGCAAATCAAATACTTTCCCTTTAAAATATCAGTTGCTTAATACTGCCCCTAAAATCTTCTGTTGTCTCCCATGCTCCCCCCCTTTAATTTCTTAGACTTGATAATTAAGGCTCAGTAGCTTTAAAAGGAAGAGAAATTTTAGACCTTTGTGGTTAGGGTAAGTGTACTAGTACACTAAAATTAGCCATGAAAGAAAGTTGTGGGATTTTCCCCTGAAAACTGTTGCCCTGAAAAATGTTTGAACCATATTTATCTTCTGCAAATGTAAGAAGGTTGAATTTTTTTCTTATTGGTAAAATAATCTCTCAGGTTTCCTTTCTATGTAAAGAAAAATCCAAAACTACATGGTATTAAACTTTGTTATTCTTCATTGAAAAATTTAAGAGTTCTGGAAATTATATCACTATGTAAGAAAGTTTAAAAATAAGGAATTAGCCTAAGTTTGAATTAACTTTTTTGTTATATAAGGGTCACTTTTCTTTAGGTCATAAAATGGAATTTAAGAGTGCGCCCCTCCCCTCTTGTATGACAGGATCAGCAAGTTGTGGAGATTGGATGCCTTACCATTGAATATGTTGGGGAAAACTTTATCTTACTCTTGCTACACATCTTCCCATCCAGGAAAGTGTAGAAGACTAAAGCAGAGGTCTGGAACAGCGCTGCTGCTCTGGGGCACCTCCCATGTTTACTAAGCCTGTATTAGTTTCTAAGCACCTCTCCCTACTGACTCACCCTCTTGTGAATTCTAGCAACCTTCGTTGTACCACACTTCTGAGGTCTCTGTGTTTCTGATTTATCTGTTCAGTATATTCATGTGGATTTTGGAAGGATGTTTGGAGAGAGTGTAGTATGTTTAAAACAATGGGGGAAAGATAATGAGTATTTGTGGACTTCTAGAGAGTTTGTACTTGAGTTCTATTTTTGGGAGGAACTCTGGAGCATAGTAACAAAGTCAGAGATAATGTAAGTGAGTAATTGATATTCTTTTTTTTTCCTCCATCCCACACCACCCTCACTCCCCATAACAGGTAAAAGCTACTGTTCAGATAATTCAACAGTTAGTGATTGCAAGGTGGTGAACACCACAGGATTCTGTTCTGGTAAGTGTTCGCTTTGGTATCTGAAAAGAGGAGATGAGAAAGATCATTGCCTCAGGAAACCTCTATATTTGGTTTGAAGCATTTCCATAATTCTATCTTGTAAGAAATTTGGATCTGTATAGCATATTCATACTCACTGCTTTCAGACTTGATTTAGTCGTTTGGTGGTACATCCTGTGGAATCTTTTAAGTACAGATATCTCTTCTACTTTATTTTTCTTTAACCTCTTCCAGATACTCATTGAATTTTAGACCCTCTCTATTTGCATTTTACAGGCTTGAGCAACATTGTTCTGTCACTTTCATTATTATGGTACTGGTGATTCTCACAGTCTGCAGCTTAAGTTCGTACTGTGATTAAATGAATCCCTGCTTTATTCATCCATTTTCTGTATTTTAGTTTGAGAAACTTGATGGTTTAACCTTTCATCTTTGCCCAGGAAATAGTTAAAATTCCTGGATGAAAGTTGATTTTTCTAACAAGATTATAAATTAATGGGAAAGTCAAATTCCTAATTTGGTATATAGATAATAATTAAATAGAATAAAAGATTTTTCTAGAGTAAATAACCTTTCACATCTACCTGTAACTAGTTTCAGTAGTCACTTCTCTTTCCCTTCCCTCACCCCAACCTGAATTTTCTAACTGAAACTCTCCTTAGTATGAGAGCAGTTATATCCTACATAGAGTCCATAATATGGTTTAGGTGGTAAATAAATGAACAGTTTTAGTATCTAATGTAATTTTATGATAATATTGCTTAGAAATAAGAGTATAAAATTTTAAAATATGTTAAGGAAAAATTGAATAATTCTATTCATTTGGCCATAAAGGACACAAAACTCCAAATTAAAGTGGTTTGATTGATAGATTAATTTGGCTCTCATGTAAAGGAGAGCGGGGCTTGAGTGCAGTTAGCGGGCTAGAGTAGCATCTGCAATCATTAGAGAGCCAGGCTCTTCCTATGTTTTTACTGTCATTCCTCAGAAGTGGCTTTGCCCTTATTCTCCAAGGTGAATGCTCATGTTCCAGCCATCAGAATGGTTTTTCTGCCAACAGGAAGAGGAAGGGAACGTGAGAGACCTGTATCTACCTTATAGATGCTTTCTAGCAGTTACACATGGCTGCCTAGCTGCAGGGGAGACTAAAAAATGTTTTTGCAGGGGAGGGTGTCACTAAGAATTGGTTCTGTTTCTAAAGAATGGAGGACCAGTACTGGGACAGAGCAACTATCTGTCTCCTCCATAGGTGGTACTAAAATGAAAAAATAGTAAAAGTTTTCAAATGACTGCAGGTTGGGAAACAGTGTTATAGATTATTATATTTTAGACAACTTTGACTTACATGTTTGTTTTTTAAATAGCGCCCACTGCCACACCAACGCCAACCAATTCTACAGGTAATACAAGATAATTGACTCTTTTCCTCCTCCTCTGAAGGTTTTTTAAACTTTTGTTGATGAGTAACTTTAGTAACTAATATCTAAAAATCATTAGTTTAATTTTTAAAATGAGTAGATATATTTAATCTTGGACTGGAATAATTACATTAACGTGTACTGTTGGGGACAGAGACGCATAACGATAGTGTTTCACGTTCATTGAATCTGAACAGATTTGTTGTAGTTTTGTACATTGAGTCTGAAAACTGCACTTTGTGGATTTTGTGGAACTCTTAAGGAAATACAGAAGCCTAAAGGAAATTAATTCTTGTCATCCGTAGGTACACCAAAATGTCTTCAGTTCTTCAGAACTAACTAAATATATTTATATATATAGATTCCTAATAAATACACTTACTAGGAAATTGGTTATTATGCCCATGCACATTTGAATTGCCTTCTTACTGCACACATAGTTGTATGCACTTTACCCATCTACTCTTAGTTGAATAGGTCATCTTTCATTTTCCATTCTGTGAATATCTTACAGGAAAATACTTGCTGTCATCTCTGGTAGGATTGATTGAAACAGCATTCTGGGTGAGAGGATATGATTATCTTAAGGCTCTTAATACTGATTGCTTTCCAGAAACCAGAAAGTTTTTAAACCACACCTTCAAAAGCATTCCCCAGTGGCTCAACTGGTAAAGAATACGCCTGCAATGCGGGAGACCTGGGTTCAATCCCTGGGTTGAGAAGATCCCTGGAGAAGGGAAAGGCTACCCACTCCAGTATTCTGGCCTGGAGAATTCCATGGACTGTATAGTCCATGGGGTTGCAAACGAGTCGAACGTGACTGAGTGACTTTCACTTCACTTCAACAGCATTAAATATTATCTCCTTGTATAAATTTTTACCAGTTTAATAGAGTAAATAAAAACGTCTACTCCAGGACTAGGTGTTAGAAAATAGGGATATAGGAACAGAAGTAAGACAGTGTTTTGTCTCTTGTAGGAACTTTGAAAGGTCAGGAAGCACAGTGTGTTGGGGGGTTTGTAGGAAGGTGTGTGTGTTGAGTAATGTGTGGTGACAACTTCCTGGGGATGTTGACAGACTTAAGTCTTGAAGTTACCTGGTAAAATAAGAGGGGAACTTCCCAAGTAGAGCAGGGCAGACCGCACATGTGAAGAAAAGGTGACAGAGTGTAATATAATGCAGGCAGAGAATTGCATTTGGAGTATCCAGGAACAAGATGAGAACAAGTTAAGCACGATAGTCAACAGGTCAAGAGCCAGACTGAGAAGTGCCATTGTATGCCTTGCTGGTATGTTTGAAGCATGTAGATTATATGATGAGATTTGCATTATAATAACTTATTCTGTGTAGAGAGGCTTTTGGAAAGAGGCAAGATTGAACACAGATGGGGTATTCTGTTGTGGTAATTCTAGAGAACTGTTTTAAAAAATGAGGGCAACTTCTACAAGTTTCTAAAAATTATATCTCATAGCTCTGTCTTCATTGATTATGTAGTGGGCTTCTAGTGCTTCAGAGATTGAAACCAGTGCAAATTAAAAAATAATTTTTTTGCCATGTTCAGAGGGTGAATAGTGAGAAACAAATGGCAAATTTGTGAATTTTTTCTGCCAGTGTTGTCAGACAAAATCACTAATAATATTTTAGTATTGTACAGGATTTGGTAACATGTTTAATTTATAAAGTATATTTTTTTGTGGTTTCACAGAAGGTACAAGCAAGGAAAACTTTGAACGGATTATGAGTTAAAATAACCATACCCTCTAATCTGGGAAATCTGTATAAGAATCTGTCCTATCAGAGAGGAGATCAAATATTTCCCTGTGAGATGTTCATAGCTTGGAGAAATGAAAGATGACCTAACTGTTCGACCAAGAGTGGGACCACAGTGCTTACAATGAAAGAGAAAAGAGTATAAATAAGTGTGTGAACACATCATAGTGTTTACTAATGTTTATTGGTAGTATTGATACTGTCTGAAGTCTCTTTTAACATAGTGCTGTAGTTCCTAAAATGTATTTACATTCAAACTTATTCTTCCCATGAGTATGCATTTCTTTAGAGACACCAGCAGATAATTATTTGAACTCATGTGCTACAGTAGAGGAGAGCTTACCCTTGGGCTCTTAACATCATTTAGATGAGGGAAATTAGGGCCTCAGGGCACCTGTTCTTATAAATAAAATTTTTTGGAACACAGCCATGTGGATTCATCTGCTTGTTGTCTTTGCCTGCTTGTGTATTACACAGTGCACAAAGTCTAAAATGTTTATTGTCTGCCTCGTTAAGAAAAGTTTGCCAAACCCCTGAAATGAACATAAATCTTGGTATCTACTTTAAGAAATACTGAATTGTATTTATTTCTTACCGTGACTTACTAAGTTAATGGTTTTTGTCTTAGAAGCAAGATTATTGAGAAAGAACCAGTAGTTCCCTCACCTAAATTCTTGCCCACCTGTGTGTCTTTTTGCAAACTGTATCCAGGTGTATATATAAACTTTTATACTTATATATGTACATAGATGTTAACATAGATACAACTTTATGATTGCTTAATGTTTTAGAATACACTTCAGAGCTGATGTTCTGAATGTGTAGATATGTTAGTAAACCATTAACTGAGATTTGACCTTTATTCTGTTAAAAAAACAAAAAACTGGAAGCATGTTGAAACGGTAGTTATGTTTTTAAAAGATAGATGCTAGATAATTGAGAAATTTAAGTTTTTAATACATGTCATTTGCATTCCAGCTAAAACCACAACTCTGCCTTCCACTACTACAGCTTCCACCACAGCTACTACATCAGGTAATTGTGGTTTTTAAAACTAACAGTGAGATGGGATGTGTGTGCAGTGTTAGCTTTTACTATTTATTATCACTTTCCAATTGTATTCATAAATAGTTAGGAGCTGAAATTCGCCTCTTAGATTTGGAAGACCAAGGTAGTAGGCTGTTAAAGCAATAAGGATAGGTTTGCTGAGAGTACATTTTAAAATGGTAATCACATATGGCGTGACATGTTAGAATTAAACGGGAATGGTTTTCCAAGACCCTTTTAGTACAATCTGTAGGTAAAATCTAATTTCTTATAACTTAAATACTGATTACTATTAGAGATTGGTTGTGTGCTGTATTAGACCGTGTCAATTTGAAGATAATATAGCCATCCTTTTTACTTTTAGGTCTAAAAAGCTGAGATAACTAACAAATGTACACCTTATTCATATTTCTTACCATTTCTTATAATTCCTTTGTAACTTTTGATAGTATGTGTGAAAATAAAGTTTTATTAACTAATGTTTTTACATGTTATTAACTTAAGTCATATTTAGGTTATGCCACAGAACACTGTAGATACACATAGGTTAGGAACCCTTCCCTCCAGCCATATTTATAATACTGAAAACTTTGATTCTGTGAATTTTTTTGGCTTTATTAAGGTTATTTTTGTAATTTGAAAACCTGTAATCAAACTTTCATTTACCTTTTATAAATTTAGAAAAATGCAAAGTATGAATTTTAAACACAAATAGTAATATTTACTCTAGCAATTAACTAAGCTATGTAGTCTGAAGAAACTGCAAATTTTAAAAGTGCTTGATACGTTCACGGCATACTGTGCCAAGAGAATAAATTTTTGTTTTCATATTTGAAATTACGTTAGCACCATTGGCCACTTGATGTTGTTGGATAGAATGAAGAATGGGATTGATAAGTGGTTGTCTTCCTCAATTAGGAAGCTGTTGACACAAGAGTAAATACTTTATAGAAACACATGGCAAAAAAGAGGCTCAGATGAGTCTTGAAATTGAGAATCACGAGACTTACTAAGTATTTTACTAAGAATTGTTATTTCTTTTATTTCATTTAACCAGGTACAACTAATACCACTTTAACTCCAACTACACAGCCTATGCGGAAGTCTACCTTTGATGCAGCCAGTTTCATTGGAGGAATTGTCCTTGTCTTGGGTGTGCAGGCTGTAATTTTCTTTCTCTATAAATTCTGCAAATCTAAAGAACGAAACTACCACACTCTGTAAAGAGACCCACTAAGTTAACAAGGACTGGCGTGTAACTCACTGAAACCAAAATATTATCTTTCAAGATGTCCCACATGGAAGACGCTATTCTAGGATCTTTAATTTTTCAAAGAACACCACCCTGGCCCCGAACGTGACTACACCCTCGTCTCCACCGCCCACCACCACGACAGTCCCGGTGTCACCGACGACTCTCACGCCGCCGCCGGTCACCACTCCAGCACCAGATATCTGTGGAAGCCGAAACAGTTGTATTTCCTGTTTTGATGGTAATGCTACCTGCTTTTGGATAGAATGTAAAGGTAAAAGCTACTGTTCAGATAATTCAACAGTTAGTGATTGCAAGGTGGTGAACACCACAGGATTCTGTTCTGCGCCCACTGCCACACCAACGCCAACCAATTCTACAGCTAAAACCACAACTCTGCCTTCCACTACTACAGCTTCCACCACAGCTACTACATCAGGTACAACTAATACCACTTTAACTCCAACTACACAACCTATGCGGAAGTCTACCTTTGATGCAGCCAGTTTCATTGGAGGAATTGTCCTTGTCTTGGGTGTGCAGGCTGTAATTTTCTTTCTCTATAAATTCTGCAAATCTAAAGAACGAAACTACCACACTCTGTAAAGAGACCCACTAAGTTAACAAGGACTGGCGTGTAACTCACTGAAACCAAAATATTATCTTTCAAGATGTCCCACATGGAAGACGCTATTCTAGGATCTTTAATTTTTCAAAGGATGCATATAGGAGCATCACCCTTGAAGAAAAATCAGTTAAATCATTTTGCTCACTGGGAATATTTAAAATATGCTGCATGAATCCTTGTGGCTGTCTTCTTTTATTTTGAATGGCTGCTGCTGTGGGATTATGCTCTCTCTTCTTGACATGCCAAATGCAACTGTAAGTGATGGGAAACACTGTCCTGCGCAGACAACCTCATGACTCTTTTGGCAATTTAAATGTAGTCATTTTAAGCCTGAAAGCTGCATTATTTTCATCCTAACTCAGGATGTAGTTTAGTGACCAGAATTGAGAAGAATGTGCCAAATGAGCATCAATCAGGTGGATTTTTGGCTATCATTTCAAAAGTGGAATAAATTTATAAATTTAGTATCCGTAGAGTAAAATTTTGTGCTTGATAACAGTTATTTTTTCTACATTAGAAAAAAGATGCCACACAGGGAATTACATTCCAGATTTAAAGAAATGAGAGGATACAAAACATGAAAAGTATAGCAGGTTATTGTTCATACTTGTAAAGCACCTTATGTCATTGAGAAAGAACAGTGCCTTAAAAGACAGACTGAAAGGTAGACTGTAACTTTTAAAATGTTGGTGATTTTTTCTTTTACGTTAATGAAGGGAAAAGTTGGTCTGAGGATGTAACTTGATGTGAGCAGTAGTAAACCTGCTTTTAGATACCACACTGTTAGTATTTAATTGAAAACTTACCTACTTTATTTCAAGCCTGAGTAACTTAAATGATGTTCTACAGAGTCGAAAGCCTTCATCTATTGGACCTCCCACCATTTTTGTTATGGCTGTTAAAAAGTGTAAAGTTGATTTAATTATGTTTCCTTTGTACTTCAAAAAGGTAACCTAACACTGTTGTACCTTAAAAGGATTTCCACTGAGCTCTCTTGAAAAGTAACTTCTATAAGGCAAGGAAGAAATAAGTTGTTTTAGAATCATTTACTAACTCTTTAAATGAGACAGTCATTTTAAGTTTTGAGATAGCAAATGTGAGCAGTATAATTTCAGAAAAAATTTTAGTTAATCAGATGACTAAAATTTTATTGATAATTGCCCTGGATAAACAGATTGAACTTCTTGTTTCTCCTCTCCCAGCCTTTCTTCTTAAGTTTTGATTCCTGTTGTAGGAAAAGCATGTGTACTTTTATTTTTTAGTTTTCTCGTGAAGCACTAGTTTTTTTGAGGTTGGGGGGTATTTCTTCCCTGCCTTTGACGCATTGGATTAGTTCGGGGGCTTAAATCAGTTTAAAATGAACTTTTGCTTTTCTAGGTCATTAAGATGTTTTGTTTTAGTTTCTTTAGCCTGTAGTGGCCGATTTTAGTACTGGTTTTCAATATTTTATAGTAAAAGACAAGTTGCTTTGGTCCATTTCATAAGCCAGAATTCCTTATATTTAGATAATTAAAGGTTCTTAAAATGAAGATTTACTGTTTCTTTGTTACTTGCTGGTACAGCTAAAGTTTGTTTTACTTGCACATTTGTACATATACCTAATGTTTTCAAGTGCCTTAATTGTTTAAAATCTCTGGCTTCAAAGGTTTTTGGGAAAAGGTAGGCTTACCTCACATTTTTGTGTTTCCCTCAGTAGTGATATTCTAGGTACCTCACAGAAATTTTTATTACGGTGCCATAGCTGTTAGCTTTTAGTGATTGCTTTAAGATACAAAATTGAGTTGAAAATACACAGAATTTCCATTCTCCAAAGGGGTAAAAATTAGCTACAATGGTGTAATTGTCATTTACTTAGATACAAATACCTTGCCACACATTAATGTTAATGCTATAGCTATTTCTGTGAAAATGTAGCTGATAAAGCCTCTCATCTTCTGTAGTTTTGAATACTGCTCTGACAGAATCATAATATGGAATTAGATTTTACAAGAAGAGCTCTTACAGTGAACTCACCGCCTTTTCCCCTCTTTAGCAGTTTAGTATCTTGAGCCATTAATGATTTGGGTTTTTTTTTTTAATCCAGAAGTTATATAGAAACATTTTCAGATTTTTCACAGGATTTGTTCATGCAGATTGTAATTCTATTAAAATCCCGTACCTTACCTTACAGATAATTGTTGCACAGGCAGACACTGCTGTATTTAGAAATTTCTATTTCAGTTCATTAAAAACTGCAAAACCAATCTGTATCATGTACCAAACCAATCTAAAATAAATCTACATGTTTATTGGGTTAATCTGCTCTTTTTTTTTATTAACTAAAGTGTGCGTTTATATTTTAACTGTGAAATTTAATGCTATGAATTTACCTTAGTCTTGTTGGAAATGGCTTGTCTACTCAGTGTTTCCTGCTCCTCAAGACCAGCAGATAGTGGCTAAGGGATGTCTTTATCAGTGGCGAACGGAGCCTTAGAAAGGATAGTTGGAGGGAGGACTTGGTTTGCCTTGCTACTGACAAAAAAAGTTGATCTTCCTCAAATAGAAATCATCTACTTATGTGCTAGTTTACCAAGTATTTATGAGAATACCATCTGTTGTTAGATATCTGAAAGCTTGTTTGTGACTTTCTGCCTTATTCAGATTGCATGTAAAGTAAAATTGGGTTTCTGTTCAGGAGTCTTTGGTATAAATATTTAGTACCAAGCCACATGCTGCTATGTGAAATCTGATTCTGTAGGCCCATGTTTTGGGCAAAATTACATTCTATATGAAATTGCAGAACTTGGACTAAAAAGATTAAATACTCTTCTATCAGCCTTAAAGCCCAGAAGAGTGGACTGAAGACTCCTAGAACTTTGCTAAAGACAAACTTATTTTGATGAGCATGGTGTTCACAGTAGGTGGGGTGTTTTTTTTTTTAATGTTTTAATGATTCAAGTCCTGTGTATTTACCCGTGTAGTAACTCTCCCTGTGCTCTTCCTTAATTTGTGTAGATAACATGTTGCTGCTGGTATTCACCATCTGCCTAAAGGATGTCTTTTAACCTTCAACATTTCTAGTTTTGTTAGTACAGATACTGGTTATGAGTTCTTACAGTGTTTGTGTGCTTTCATTTTTGAATGATTTCATTCGATATAGAGTTCTAGGTTGACATTTTTGCTTTTAGCCCTTTAATGATGTTGATCCAGCATCTCACATGCATTGTGTCCTATGAGAAATCTCATCTTTATCTTTTGTTCCTCAGTACATGTGTTTTTTTTTCCTCTTGCTTTTACAAGATTTTTCTCCTTATTGCTTATTTTGAGCATTTTGATTGTAGTGTGCTATGCTGTAGTCTGTCTGGTCAAAACTGTGGTTTTTCCAGTAGTCATGTATGGATGTGAGAGTTGGACCATAAAGCTGAGGGCTGAAGAATTGATGCTTTTGAACTGTGGTGTTGGAGAAGACTTGAGAGTCCCTTGGACTGCAAGGAGATCAAACCAGTCCATCCTAAAGGAAATCAGTCCTGAATATTCATTGGGAGGACTGATGCTGAAGCTGAAACTCCAATACTTTGGCCACCTGATGCGAAGAACTGACTCATTGGAAAAGACCCTGATGATGGGAAAGATTGAAGTCAGGAGAAGAAGGGGACAACAGAGGATGAGATGGTTGGATGTTATCACCTACTCCATGGACATGAATTTGAGCAAGCTCCAGCAGTTGGTGATGGACAGGGAAGCCTGGCGTGCTGCAGTCCATGGGGTTGCAGAGTCGGACACGACTGAGTTGAACTGATGCTGTTTTGTTTCCTGTGGTTGAGGTTTGTTGAGTGTCTTGGATTTGTGGTTTTTCATCCGATTTGGAAAACTTTCAGGTATTATTTTTTCAGATATCTTTTTCTGTCCTTTCCATTCTCTGTGTTGGGGACTTCAGTTCCACAGAGGCTGCTAGAAGGTGACTTAAAATTTACCCATGCACTGTTTTGGTTTTTAAAAAACCTTTTTCTACTTTGTGTCAGATTATTACTATCTTTAAATTCACTAATACTTTCTTCTGCGATGTTTAATCTATTGTTACTCTTACTTGGTGTCTTTTCACTTCAGATGTCTTCATTTTTAAAAGTTTAAAAGTTCAGTTTGGTTGTTTTTCATATTTCCACATATTCCAGCTTTACGTTTTGAACATGTAACAATTTTTAACATCTGGGTCAGTTTCTATTTTCTCTCACTATAGGTCGTAACTTTCCTCTTTCTTTGTATGCTTGGTAGTTTCTTATTGCATGCCAGATGTAAATTTTAACTTGTTGGGTGCTGGTTATTTTTGTTCTGGGACATAGTTAAATTTCTTGACAGCAGTTGGGTCCTGTCAGATCTTGCTTTTTAAGTTTTAAGAGCAGAACATTTGTCCTAGGATTAATTGTTACCCAGTTCTGCACTGGCTAATTATCTACCCAGTGCTCCCTGGATTAAGAGGCTTTCTGGTCTGGGTTAGTGGAAACAGCCTCTATTCTTAGCCTTGTGTGCATTCCAAGTACTGTTTCCTCTAAACCGCTCCCCTGCCTTGGATAGCTTCCTCGGATACCTCTCGTGTACCTGTCCTGACCAGTACGTTGTTGAATACTTGAGGGGTACCTTCTGCAGGTCTCTGGAGTTCTCCTTTGTGTAGTTCTCTTTTCTGTGGTCCTCTGCCCTGGGAACTCTATCTGCTTTCATCTCCCTTAACTCTCAGCTCCATCTCCTCAACTCAGGAAAGTCCACTGACCTCTGCCTAGGTGTTGCCTTCCTGCATCATGGCTTAGAAATTCAAGGCAGTAAGCTGGGTTGGTGGTTTCCTTTTTTTCAAGGATCAGTGTCCTTTGGCTGAAGTCCAGTGTGTTGAAAACCACTGTTTAAAGTCTTCATTTTTAATTATTTAACAAATACATATTCTTTTTTTCTTCTTAAACTATTACAGGTAAAGTCTGCTTTGATCATCCCAGCCCCTTCCCCATCTTTGTCCTCCTCCACTTTCCAGAGATAATTACTAGAACTGGTTTGGTGGTAAACTGTCCCCCTCAGCGTTTATATACACACAACTAAACATCCCTTTAGAAAATACATAATGTGGGTTTTTATTTTAGTGTTATCCTGCAACTTTTTTTCACTCATTAGCTATGCCAATTTCTTAAATTCTCTGTTGGTATATGTAGTATGACTATTGTAAGTATGTACCTACTGAAGAACAGTTAAGTTGTTTGTAATTTGTAGATTTTACTGTTTCCTAAAGAATATCTTGGTACCTGCCACCTTGCTTATATGTGTGAATGTTTCTCAAGAGCAAACAAAAGTGGACACCTGCACCCAGGGTTTCCACTTTGAAAATTTTAACACACTGAGATTGCCTTCCATTTCCTACCAGCAGATCAGAATGTTCTCTTTGTCCTTTGACTTACTATTACCACTTGTTATTTCATCACTGCCCTTGTGCATCACTACCCTCCTGAGCTTATATCTGCACTTCATTGGAGAAGATGTGGCCAAGGCTGAATAGCAGAGTTCACTGTGGCTGTGAAGGGTGGGGTGGTGGGGCGGGGGCAGGGGAGGAGCCCCTTCACAGGAGGTGCCATGCCAGTGGCACTCCACCAGGAAGCTGCGTGCACCGCTGGAGTTGGGCACTGCAAAAGCTGCAGGTGCCTGCCTAGGTGAGGAGCCCTGAACCCAGGAGAAACCCTTCTTCCTCCAGCACCCTCTACTGCCAAAGCTTAACATCCTGCCTGGTGGTAAAGAAGACGTATGCAGGGTCCAGATTCATTACTTGATAGAAGACAAGAGTGAATTTGGACCTGAGAAACTTAAGTGGTATCTTACCTGGTCATGCTGATTTTTTAGTCTTGATCTCAGTCATCAACCTTCCTTTTTGTTTTTTATGTCATTTCAGAAATAAATGTGCATGTGTGTGCATTTAGATATTTAATATATGTTTATGTCTGTAAAATATGTTCGTTCCATTTATCTATCTATTGATGTTTATTCCTTTAAGATAAATTTTCCTGTCTCAACAAAAAGACTTGGATTAGGACTTTACAAAAATCTGAAGAGGGTTTTGCTGTTTTTAGGAAGAATAAAAAGACTTGAGAGAATGGTGTTCTTAAGTGAAACAAATAGAAATAAGTGCTTTAGATTTACTTAGTCTCTGACCTGGTTTTTCACTTGTTAATAAATACTGTCTGGCCAGCAATGCCCTCTCTCTTGGTTCTCCCACCTAATCAGTAACTCTAGAACCCATATTAAGAGGCTGCTGGTTGACCAGAGGCAAGGCCTAGGATGTAGAAATGCAAATCAACTATTAAAATTTAGGGTCAAATCCTACTTCACTTGGGACATTCAGCATATAATCTCAGTCCTTCCATACTATCTTCACATATAGTAAAATTTAGATAAAAGGCTTAATGGAATTTAGAATCATTTTTATTCATTCAAATGCCCATAGAAATAAAACTTGGAAAAAGGCTATATGATTACCAATCAGGTCTAAATGGGATTCTGGATGGAGCTGTTTAAACTTGAAAAGCTGAAAGTTGAACAATATCTGCCACATTGGGTAGGAAGACACGGTCAGTTCGTTTTTTGTGTTTAATAGTTACCTGCAAAAAAATAATATTAGAGCCTTTTAAAAAGATGATGAATAATAATTATAGCATCATTACAAGTCACTAATGAGACCTAGATCATTGGTTCAGTCTGGGTTAGACTAGTGTGCCTTGTCATACATATTTTGCCCCTTGTTTATAAAGGAAACTAGTCAGGATGAATCCATTAATGGAAAGCCATATCCAGCTAAGGAAGGAAAGATATATTTGGAGAAATCAATAAATTCCTTAATGTTTTATCATTTATGTTAGTGCAGTGCTACTTTTAAAAGAAGATCAGTGGTGGTCTTATATTTCAGCCCTCTATAAATTCCTCCCAGTCTGTATTTATCCGACTTGTCTCATAGACCTTGTTTAAGAAGTCAGACCTTAAGATTTGAAGAGGTTCCAGATGATTCTGTGGCTTTCCTGGACCTCAGGCTTTTTACCTGTGGTCTCTACTATGCACAAGCCAATGGGCCCATAAGACACTTCCTTACTTATTACAGTTTATTTATTTAATAGGGTAATGTAGCCAACAATTGGTATTAGACCATCAGCCTTCTAAATCTGAAACCTAGTGCATCTCCGCTAATGTACTAACTCCTTAGCAACTTGTTCAACCATAAGAGTCGTGATCAGCAACCTGCCCCATAAGGAACATTTGCTTTGGGGAGTGAAATAGGGATAGAGTAAAGCTTAAAAGCCGTTGTCCCATACAGGTCAACATCGCTTCCTTTTGGAAAGGGCTTTTGCAGAAGCAAATAGACATGTAGTAGAATGTCACCTTTTGGTGAAAGATGACTGCACAGAGATTGGTGGGTCAAGCCAAAGGCAGGCATTGATGACGTGGCCCTACTTGGTCAAGGTTCTCAGTGGGGTATGTTCCTGACCTGCTTCTTCCCTCTGTGTGTGTCTCCCTTTAACTGTATGTCTGGGAATACTGCAACAAACTTTTGGTTCAATAACTAGACCATTGGCTTCAAAAGAGGCCTTAGGATGGCATATTTTCTGACAGAATGATCGTATTTTTTCCTCTTAACTTTTCTCAAGGTAAGAGGAGAAGAATTCTTAAGTGTGTTGATTAGATATATACCTCTCTGGAGGAGATTCTGAAAAACAATGGAGCAAAGAGTGTAATACTTATTAAAGCAGCATAGAGAAGATGGTGGAAGAGGATTCAAATGGTATCTTACATAAACCAAGAGGTGAAACAGTTAAAGAAAAATTCTTCAAATATGTGCTATACCTCAACCTAACCTGCATTCCAAGCATTTCTCACATGTTTTAAGGCTGACTTATGAAATTATTTCTGCTCTGCCAGGGAACACAAAGGCTGTGGCACTGCTAGTTAATTACTGTAGATGATTGAAAAAAAAAATTGAGAGAACATGTCTAGGTGTTGTACTGACTTTCACACCCATTTACTGAATTGTAATTGAGTAAGTGCTTTTGGGCTTGTTTCAGCATTAGAATTTTATTATTGAGGAGCGATGCCATCAAGCTGGCAGAATAGGAAACCCTAGACCCTCCTTCCTACAGGAACACATTGATTCAGCAATAATTCATGGACAAATTCCCTTAGCGAGAAACCCAGAATATTATTTTCTAAGATCCAACCATTGAGATAAGATCTTGATACACAATTTTTTAATTTTGAAGTGACCCTAAATCCATGATTTCATATTTATATTTTTCATTGTTTCATATAATCAAATTTATCATTACCTACAGTCTTTGGCCTTTGAATCCTTGTTATTTTGCTTCCCATGAGTTGAGTCTTTAAAAGGTGTTGCTGGGTGTATCTGGATGATGTGGAAGCAGAACTTAGGGAGTAGTGAGCTTGGGATATAAGGCCTGTAAAGTGAAAAATGCTAAATTATATCTCTGCAATGTACAGGTCTAGGTTTAATTCATAAAATTTTAGAGCTTAAAATGGGTATCTGATTCAGCTTCATCAGTTTTGAGTGAAGATGTCAAAACATGGATAATGTCTTTTGCCTGAGCGTCTATGACCAAGTGAAAGAGATGATGGGTTACTTGAACCTGTGGGTAGAAGTAGACAGACTGAGATATTCACATTAATGGGACTTGGTAATTAGTTGGGTTTGCAGGGTAAGGAAGAATAGCTTTCCGATTTCTGGCTCAAGCAACTGATCAGATATTAATTTTATGGTGGATTTTATGCTGATGGCACATACATGCTCAACAAGTCATTGTTCACTGCAAGGTCAGGATAGATGGGTGGGAAATACGAATGTATAAAGATTAGCTCAAGGCCCCTGATATGATAGAAGCCCATGGGATGCTGATCACAGTGATTGTCCCAGGGAGGAAAAGGAACACCTTTTCCATTTTAACAGGAAGGAAGGAGAAGCAGCTGAGCTTAGGTTTAGGTAGGCCAGGGACAAGAAGTAGAGGAAGTTCCCATCTGATAGGGGAGGAGTAGGACAGTGTCGGCAGAGACCATGGAGATTTAAAATAGTTGCTGTATTATAATAACTTTTTATAAAGTATAATCTCTAAAAATACTGAATCATTATGTTGTATATCTGAAGCTAACATACTGTAAATAATACTTCAATTAAGAATAAATAAGAGAAACTAATTGCTGTGAAGAGAAGGAGAGAGTGAGCTGACCTTTCCGTCGGCTCCCGGAGAACATGTGAGCTGGGCCTAAGCCTACCAGGCATCTCAGTCTCTGGCTTCAGTGCTTGGTTCAAAATTGGTCACATGACCTGAGTCAGCCCAGTCTCTTCCCCACTCCGGCCACGTGAGCCTGAACGGAGGGTCCCTTCCGCACTCCCGCCACGCGAGCCTGAATGGAGGGTCCCTTCCCCACTCCCGCCACGTGAGCCTGAACGGAGGGTCCCTTCCCCACTCCCGCCACGTGAGCCTGAACGGAGGGTGGACGCTACAGAGGCGGCAGACATCTTGCCTCCCAAGGGGCTCTACTTCCTGTCTGCTCCCAGCATGCTCAGGGCCCAGAGACGCAGAGAGAAGTCAGTCCTCAAGAAACAAGCCTTGATCAAGCCCACATGAATCAGTGGAACAGAATAGAGCCCAGGAATAGACTCATGCATCCATTCTCAGTTAATCTTTGACAAGGGAGGCAAGAATATACATTGGAGAAAAGAGAATCTTTTCAGAAAGTGGTGGTGGGAGAGCTGGACAGCTACATGCAAATCAATGAAGTTACTAGAACATTCCCTCACACCGAACACAAAAATAAAATGGCTTAAAGATTTAAATATAAGACATGACACCATAAAACTCCCAGAAGAGAACATAGTCAAACATTCTCCGAAATTGTAGCAGTGTTTTCTTAGGTCAGTCTTCCAAGGCAATAGAAATAAAAATAAACCAATAGAACCTAATCAAACTTTAAGTTTTTGCATAGAAAAAGAAACCATAAGACAGATAACCTACAAACTGAGAGAAAATATTTGCAAATGGATATGATTGACAAGGAAGGGCTTAATTTCCAAAATATACAAACAGCTCATACACTCAATGACAAAAAAACCAACCCAATAAAAAAATGGGCAGAAGACCTAAATAGACATTTCTCCAAAGAAGACACACAGATGACCAACATATACATGAAAAGATACTCAACATTGCTAATTATTAGAGAAATACAAATCAAAATTACACTGAGGTATTATACTAGTCAGAATGGCCACCGTCAAAAAGTCTATAAATAATAAATGCTGGAGAGGGTATGGAGAAAAGAGAACCCTCCTACACTATTGATGGAAATGTAAATTGGTACAGACGCTATGGGAAACAGTATGGAGGATCCTTGAAAAGCTAAAAATAGTTGCCATATGATCCAGCAATTCCACTCCTGGGCATATACACAGAGAAAACTATAATTTAAAAAGATAGCATAGCAGCAGTATTTACAACAGCCAAGACATGAAGGTAATCTAAGTGCTCATCAACAGATGAGTGGATAAAGAAGATGTATATGTATATGTATATACATACAATGAAAGACTACTCAGTTATTAATAAGATTCTTGCATCTTCCCATACATAAACACTAAAATCATTAACTTGTTTTTTTGTGATTAGCAGTAATGTTATGATGTTCAAATACATGATTTTTTTTCAGCAAAAACTCTAGTAAGCTCCCCAAATAAACCTTAATCACAACTCTTAGGTGGTGCATTTCTTCCTCAATAGACAACGTGTAGAAAGTCCTGAGCAAACCCCCTCCCATCACTGCAGAAGGGGACAGATAGGGGCTGAGACCAGCGAGTAACTTCTACCTCTGCTTCCTGAAAAAGAGACTTCTCTTTCATTCCTGCTGCATTCCTATCCTGGTAATTAGGGTTCTCCCCATGTGCCTCCTGCCTGACTCTGGTCCTCCTTTGTAAATGTGCAGGTCTTAAAGGACACAGATGGCAGTTTGATTGGATGTGTTAACTCGGAGAAGGATTTAAAAGATATTTGGCTAGGCTGGAGGCATATGGAGGCAGAGGGGAAAGGGAGAAACAGAAAACCCCAGGGAGTCTGTAGAGGATAGTGGAAGGTAGAGAATCACTCAGGGTGATTGGTCAAAATAGGGCCCTTGACACTCTTCCTCTTTGGATCTGGGCTTGGGTGGGGGACGCCAGTCCCACTATTAGGGCCCAGGCCGCAGGCATGGGCAGGGAGGGGGTATCCTTGGGCTTTACTAACAAGTCCAGCCTTTTTCTTAGAAAACCTAAACTATCTTGACCTTTGAAAATGATCTTTCTGCTTCTGACAGTGTTTGCTCACATCATTCACACCACTGTAAGTGGCCAAAAGAAAACACAGATAAAGGAGGACACACATGTATGAAAGTATAATAACAAACATTTGCACAATGACCTAGTGTTACTCCACTCTGTGGCAGACACCCACTGTTTCATAGAGTCCTCAGAATTCATCTTTGAGGTGGGTATTTTACAGAGAGGTGAATTAACCTGTCCAGGGTCACACAGCTAGCAGTGACAGAGACAGGATTTGAACCTTCGCTGTCTTATTTCAAAGTCCATATTGTCAACCACCAGACTGGGCTATGGAACAGAAAGGAAAGGCCCAGCTGACCTTAATAATAGGCTGATTGTAGCTATTGATGGGGTAATATTTTTGATAGACCTAGAAGAGAACTTGGAATTTATTTAGTCCTCATCTTACAGAAGAGGAAGCTAGTTTAGAGACATCCCAGGTTCTGGCCTCCATTCCATTGCTGCTCGCTGACTGTGTTGTCCAGAATGCTGTTTTGATTGTCATTTCCGTAGGACTCCTCAAGCCCCTAAGACCCAAGAATCATAATGTACTTTATGAAGAACATCTGAGAAATGTGGTCACTAGTATCCTGTCAGGAAGGAAGAAATTTTCCTTTACCCTTCTAGGTTCTTTTGGCTGGTCTAAGAACTCAATTGATATGAGATTAACAGGAGAAAATAACACAACAGTTTATTCGCCAACATTTGTTGGATCATGGAGAAAGCAAGGAAGTTCCAGAAAACATCTATTTCTGCTTCACTGACCACACTAAAGACTTTGACTGTATGGATTACAACAAACAGTGGAAAAATTCTTAGAGACCTTGCCTGTCTCCTGAGAAACCTGCATGCAGGTCAAGAAGCAACAGTTAGGACTGGTCATGGAACAGCAGACTGGTTCAAAATTGGGAAGGAGTACGACAATGTTGTATGTTGTCACCCTGCTTAATTAACTTATATGCAGAGTACATCATGAGAAATGCAAGGCTGGATGACTCACAAGCTGGAATCAAGATTGCTGGGAGAAATATCAACAACATCAGATATGCAGATGATACCACTCTAATGGCAGAAAGTGAAGAGGAACTAAAGAGCTTCTTGATGAAGGTGAAAGAGGAGAGTGAAAAAGCAAGGTTAAAACTCAACATTCAGAAAACTAAGATCATGACAACCAGACCCATCACTTCATGGTAAATAGAGGGGGGAAAAGTGGAAGCAGTGACAGATTTTATTTTCTTGGGCAAAATCACTGCAGATGGTGACTGCAGCCATAAAATTAAAAGACACTTTCTCCTTGGAAGAAAAGTTATGACAAACCTGGACAGCATATTAAAAAGCAGAGACATCACTTTGACAACAAAGGTCTGTATAGTAAAAGCTATGGTTTTTCCAGTAGTCATATATGGATTTGAGAGTTGGACCATAAAGAAGGCTGAGGCTGAAGAACTGATGCTTACCATTTGTGGTTCTGGAGGACTCTTGAGAGTCCCTTAGACTGCAGGAGATCTAACCAGTCAGTCCTAAAGGAAGTCAGCCCTGAATATTCACTGAAAGGACTATTGTTGAAGCTGAAGCTTCAAAATGTTGGCCACCTGATGTGAAGAGCTGACTCACTGGAAAAGACTCTGAAAGATTGAAGGCAAAATGAGAAAGGGACATCAGAGGATAAGATGGTTAGATAGCATCACCAACTCAACGGACATGAATTTGAGCAAACTTCAGGAGATAGAGGAGCCTGGCGGGCTACAGTCCCCGGGATCACAGAGAGTCAGACCTGACTTAGTGACTGAACAACAACAAGCACATAGGAGAGGCCTAGGAAAACTGAGTAATTTGGCAGCATTCCTGAAGCTCTCAATTTAAATGCCATCCTCAGCTAAAGACAGAAGAGGATGTTGAGGATGGGGAAAAGTCAGTTATGAGAGGTTACCAGGAAAAGCACAATAAATAAGGGCAACATTGTTACACAGATTTGTCTTTTCCATAAACTTCTAGAGATTTGGTCATCCTTCTCTTCCTTGTACTGAAAAAAAAGAGATGCTCTTAAAACTCTAAACTTTTCTTACAAAAGGGAAACTCCCTTCCCATGTCTGCTTTTTCTCAAAAATAATCAGCTTAAAACTTTATGCCAAAGAGACACATTAGGATGGTAAATTCTACTCCTCTATTCTCCTAAGGTGTTAGCTTGCTTCAAAATCTAGTGATGTACTAGTCTTCTTTAGGTGACATATTTCAACTTGAACTAGTTTTTATGATTGAAACCTTTTTATACAGAATATCAATACTCCCAAGGTGAATTAAAATAGAAAGTTCTAACTGCAAATGAGAATAAAGGTTCATTCATTCATTCAACAAATATGAAGCACTTCCTTTATAGCCACTGGATTGTTATCATTAGTCCCCAGGACCCTCTTTCAATCCCCACCCAAGACCCTGGGAGCTTATTCTACCCAGAGAGAGGGTATCCTTACCTCCAGGTGAGTTCCTTTGGGTGGAGGATTGCTCAACATCATTAAGCTGACTTTGTAGCTCTTCTACCCACTGGAAAGCATCCAGCTTCACACTACGCTCATGGGCAAGCCGGCTTCTCACCTGAGTGGAAAAGTGCTTGAGAAGCAGAAATGCTTTGGGGAAGCAGAACTATTCCATCAGTTCACTGTGAAGGGTGGGGTAGGGGGATTGCCAGGGAGAGTGTGAGACCAAAGCTATCCCAGGAATATAAAAAAATTCCTGGTCAGGCTCAACTGAGCCTTATGAAAATCAGCAGCACCAGGGATGTCAAGAACTTAATCAGTGAGGAACAGAGGCAGCCCTTGGAACACTTTATCCCCTTACAATAGAAGTTTACTCACAAAAGTTATCTTTTATCAGAGGACAAGCAGGGAGGGGAGAGGAACCAGTTTACAGAGGACCTTGTAGGCCAAGCCCCAGTGCCTGTGGGACCCCTGATGGCTTCAAGCAAAGATTTGATCTCTCTCCCAGACCTCTAAATTCAACTAATCATCTGCAGGAATGCACTGAGCACCATCTCCAGGCCTGACACAAGGCCCACATCCAGAAGACAACTTCATGTTTGCTCTCCCCTTACACCCCTGATCCAGAGTCCATTGGTCAGAGTCTCTATGTCCAAAGTGACTCATCTGCATACATCACAGGCATTTTTTTCTTTTTAAATTTATTTCTTATCATCTCCTAATTGTTTTTAATTATGAAAAAGTAATAGTGTAACAGGTTGAATAGTGTCTCCCACCAAGTCATGGACACCTGGAACCTCAAAATGTTACCTTATTTGAAAATAGTTTTTGTAGACGTGATTAAGATGAAGTCATACTGGATTAAAGGGAGGGCCCTAAATCGAATGCTGATGAATTCATAAACAGTGGAGCGAGCACAAACACACACACAGATTTAGGGAAGAAGGCCGGATGGAGAGCTGCAGCTGCCCGTGGAGGGACACCGGGGACTGTGGGCAGCCGCCAGCAGCCAGGGGAGCCACGAAGCAGGTTCTGCCTGAGCCGCCTGGAGGGACCCACACCTTGATTTCAGACTCTGGCCTCCTGGACTGTGAGAGGTTACATTTTTTAATCCTTTTTTGGTCATTTATTTTGTAAAATTCCCCTTACTGACTTCCTTCATTTAACCTGATTTCTGTTTCCTAATATATCTGGGGAATTAATTGACCTATTTGTTCAATGAATATATGTGAAACACCTGCCCCAGAAAGTGCTGTTTTGGTTTTTTTATTTCTCCTTTTGTGTTGAATTTTATTCTGTGGTCTCCTTTGTTGGAACTTGCATTAGTCCACATGTACATTATTTCCTTTTTTTTTTTTTTTTTTGCTGTGGGGTATATTGAAAAACATACTGGGTCTGGAAACCACTTCAGCCTTTCCTTTTTTATTTCTACAATTCCAGAAACACCATGAATAAAATTCCCTTACAGTAATACTTGCTGCTTTTCCAGATTACTTGTCAGGATTTTCTAAAAGATCCCTCCTAGCTCAAAGATTAGAGCCATGTGGGGAAATATGCTTTCCAAGTGGGTGACAAAAATGCCAAGATTCTGGGCCTCATGGCACTCAAGCCATCATCTTTGCTCACAAGCAGCCTGAACAATCACCAGGTATAGATATTTCCATTTCCCTGCTATTCCTGGGGGTGACCAAGGTAAGGAACACTGCTGTGGAGGCAAGAGAGGTGTGGAGAGGAAGAAGGAAACCACTCTGGCTGGTGCGCCCTGACTTGCTACCTCTCACTGGAGTTACCTGTCGGAGTTCTCTCTGAATTTTCTTCTGCTGCAGCTGGCCCAGTTTAGAAGCCCTCTTGGCATCTTCAGTAAGGAGCTGCAGGTGCTGTTCCTTTTGCTCCACATCCTTTAAGAGCTTCTCCATGCTGGAGGCTTTCATTAAATCCAGCTGCTGCCGGTGGAGAGCTTCCTGGGTCACTCTGTGTTCTAACTCTTTCAGCAATTGTGCCTGCGGCAGGAAACAGCCAAAGGAAACAAGAAAGGCACATGGTCTTTCTCAGCAGAGGGAATGACACGTTGGCCAACACAACTGTCCCGTCAATTAAAACCCAGGGGCAGAATCGTGTGACGTGTTCTTGGGTTCAGGTCCTACCTCCCAGCCATTCTGTCCTGTCTTGTGCCAACCAGCAGCAAGACCAAACAGTCATACCTACTACAGACTGCATCTGCGTGTCGCTACACCTTTATCATGTGATAGCAATGGAAGGGCTAGACCTGGGGAGAACGGGGTGATGCAATACGTACAGAGAGTGGGCAAAGGAGGCACTAATCTTGCCTCTGTTTTGACTTCTAGAAAAGTCTGGGAAAAAGCCAGGTTGCAGATGGTTGAAAAGAGCAGTAATAATTTGGTTCTGTTCTGAAATTTTTCTAATCAACAGTTACCAGAAGGTCGATCCTTACTTATAATATTATGTTAATAATGAGGATTAATATTTGTAGGGTGACCTCACATAATTATACATCATAGCTCACTGGCACACCATAATGGAGGAATTAGGGTCCAAAAGGAACAGATTATATTTTATGTCTTAAAATACACCCAAGCTGTTTCCTAGGCTGTTATTTAAACTCAGCTGTTGTCTCTCTAAACCTAAGGTCTCTGCTTCATTTATGCTCAGAGGGTTGGCACAGTTATTAAGAGCTTAGATTTTAAAAAGCCTTTATTTTGGTGCCAGTTCTTCAGAGCAGCAGTAACGTCTGAAATTAAGATTTAGTGTGGGTCACCAGGAAAGGAACCAAGACTCTCTGCTTGGGGCATAATGCTGATGGCTGGACCACACCCATAGAAAACATTCTTGGAGTATGAAAGGAAGGTGTTAGAGGCAGAGATTCAGACCCCCAGATGCTCTCTGGGTTAAGAGAATACTCAGAGAAACACAGACAGAGAGAGAGAGAGAGAGCGATCAATCTTAGATATGAGCAGTATTTCACCATTTTAGCCAAATATGAATAACAACAAAAGCCTTTTGGCCACTGCCCCTGATCTCTGGGCTGGAAAGGAGGGAGAAGGGAAGCTGGGGTCCAGGCCCTCTTTCTCCAGCAGCACCGTCTGCTCAGCTTCACACTGCGGCACTCTGGTAACTGCTACAGGCAGCTCAGTGCCCTGTCTCCTGGCCAGAATGTGTTGACAGAGAGGGAGGAAGAGGGGTTCTGAGCTCAGATACCTGATTCTCCTGCTGCCTGCACATCTTCACATTGTCCGCCTGAGCCCTAGCCAGGGCCTGTCTTAGAGCCAATAGCTGCTGACGAAATAAAACTACCTCTTGTTCGGCCATTAGCTTGATGTTCAAACACTCTTTTTTAGTTTGCACAGCTTCCTGTGAACATCCCAAACACAGTAAGGTAGGATATGAGTTTCCTTTCCACATTTTCAGTTTCACAAGCAGTCTCTGAACCATCATCCATCATTCTTTGAAATTTCTGGAAGCATAGAGCTCCCGCTGGCCACTGCCTCCTTAATTTCAGTTAAGAACAGTGTGACAGATCAGAGTAAATAAAGACTTTCGGAAACAGTAAGTCAGTTTCCAAACCACTACTGATATGTGCTTTGGTTTCAATTTTCCTTAAAACAGATTTTCAACTTACTGTTACTGCACTTCCCACTGATAATCATGTTTGAAACCCAAAGATTTGCAGTGCTTTGACAGTTGGCCAACTCCATCTTTTCCCTTTCCTTGTGCTAAACTCTCTGATCTGTCCTCTCATTTGTTTCTTTGCCATTTGCTTCTGGCTCTTTCCCATTCCTCCCCAGGCTCTGATACTGCCAGTTCCCAGGAAATCCGCAACTGTCAGATTCTTTAAGGTGGTCCGTGGGTCTTGCTACCTGACACCAGTGCGGCAGCTGCATCAAGGGAGGCCAGTGCCACCCTTCCCCCTGGCTGGGCGGGGCCTCCCTCCCACGGCGCTCACCTTCTCAGCCCTGCTCAGCTGGCCCCGGAAGTGTGCCTGCTGCACCACCAGCCTCCAGTGGCCCAGGCTCCTCAGCTTGCGCACCAGGGCGGCCAGGCCGCAGTTGTCCTGCTCCAAGGCCTGCAGCTGCTCCTGCTTAGAAGGCTCAATTTCAGAAAAGGCTGCCCCCAGCACTTTTCTCGGGAAGGACATAAATCCTAACATCAGAAACATGCCTTCCAAAACATGAGACAATTGTGCAGTGGGCCCCAGTGCCCTTTTAAAATGCCTGACACAGGCTTTCTCTGGGAAACAGAACAGGAATGCAACCCAAGCAAGCGGCAGGGTCAGACGCTAGGATGAAGTGCTGATACCCCACTCTTAAGTGAGATCACATACTTTGGCTGGATTTTCTTTCATTTCTTCGTCAGGCCTGGCAGAGCCCCACTTCTTCTTTAGGTTTTTCATGTTGTCAATCCCTTCTGTTCTTACTTCGCCGATGAGCTCACACACTTTCTGGATCAAATTAAGCTGATTCTCATCCAACTTCTCCTGCGAAGTGCAGACTCAGGTTTAGGAAGGGCAGTTGAGGAAGAGTCATTCTGCCTTCTAAAACTCAACTTTTAGGAATGATTTCACATTAAAACGTCATTGACCAAACAATTACTCCATCGGGTATTGTCTGAAAGTGTCACTTGTGGCCCCTTTAGTCCTTTAGTGTTGTCCTCAATCTGCAGGGCTTCATCATCTACACATCTTAGAGCCTGTGGTTGTCAGACGCCAAGGAGGCAGAATAATGGGATGTCACAGGTGGAAAAGCAAATCACCCTCCCATTCCCCCTCACCAGAAACACACACAAAGGGTTACTTGGGAATTTGAACCTAGGGATTTTTGCTATGAGGTTTACTCAGCAGAATCTGAGCAGATAAGACACTTTCCATGAGCCACTAACAAGGAACGCCATTAAAATATACACATTAGAGGAAGGAATCAGGCCGGCTGTCTTCCCCTCTAGGCTCCAGCAGAAATCTCATTATCAAACAGCCCGTTCATTCTGAGTGGCTGTGGCTAACAGCTTATGGTGAAACAGCTTGCTCACTGCTTAGCACAACTTGAAGACCCAGCATCCTTGGGTAAGGAGTGACTGTGGGGTGTCCTGTCACCTCTGAACCACTTCCCTGGAGGGGAAGCAGGAGCCAGAGAGACACAGCAGAAAGCTTGGCTAGTGACCACACAGCAAAAGCTTCACCACCTTCTTGGGACCCTGGGGTAAAACAGGATTCCTTACCTCCAGGGGCTTGTGCAACTATTTGAGCCTGAGACAAGTAGAGAATTTCTTGTCTTGGAATCTGACAGAAGCTAAAAGGAACCTAAGAAATTTTTTTAACAATTTCACACCTGAAAGATGGCTTAGTAAATTCTAGACTTCACTGTCTGCTTACAGTTCGCTGCAGTGCCACGCCCAATGCAAGTTGGTTTGGATCCCTTAATATTTGTAAGCACTTTATGGACACATCACAGCAAGAAGCAATGTTCAGTCCTCTCTGGAATAACCAGATAAAGGCAGAGAGGCTCAGTGGAAACTCCTCTCAGTGGAACAAGTCCAGGAACCACCCTGGAATCCCCTGGGAGGAGGGAGTAATGGAAGGACCCACATGCGGCTAGCTCTGGGGAACATCTGATAGCAGGGAAGGGGGCAGATTTGGGGGAGGTGTGGCTGTACTGAAATTCTCACTTGTGGGGCAGCTGGACCAGGCTCAATAATGACCTGTTTTAGGCATGGGTCTCCATCTTACAGCTGCTCAGAAGTCATAAGACAGTGACAGGCTTCCACGGTGCTGTGGGCACATGTGCACCCATCATTCCTCTTCTGAGTGGACCTTTACCGACAGGTCAACAGTTCCCTGACACTGTATATGCCCAGCTAGTGGGAGTTTTGAGGGTTGTAAAATTTTCAAAAGCTGATTCAAATTCTGAATCTGCCCAGTGAGCTTCTAGGAGGTAGCTGTTGCTACCTACACTGGGGCTTGGCCAGGCCCAGGGCACTGCCCTCTCCTGTTTTAGATGGTCATTCAGTAGACAAAAGAGTAACATAAAACTGTTGGGGTTTGGAAGAAGAACTCCCCGTTGCCTCAACAGCAATCAGATGGTAACAATGCAGTAGAGTGAGGAAAATAGCAAATATCTACATTATTTAAAATTCAGTGTCTCTTTTGGTAAAATAATGACCTCCCATCTCTGACTCACTTTCTTCAGTGAGAGCCTAGAGCTGGAGCATTCTTGGACCCAACAATCTCTTGTCACAAAGCCCACTCTGTTATTGACCCCTCTGTATAGCCACCATGGAAGTCAGGTACACCTGGGTCTCCATGGGACTGTCCAGACATCCCACCCAGGTCACTTACTTTGATGTGCAAACATGTCACAAACAAAGCTTGGACTAACGCTTCGTATTCTTCTTGGACCTCTTTTCTAATTTGCTTTTTGAGATTTAGATTCTCCTCCTCCAAATCCGTGAGTCGGGCTCTCAGGGCAGTGATTTCCATGATCATATTATGACTGAGTTCTGCAACCTAGTGGCAGAAATATTTTTTTCTTAATGGGAAATAACTCAGGAATTCCAAATAGCCACTGCAGAAAGAGTTCTTTGTATATCAATGTTGAATTGGCATTCTGCTTTGGGCCCAATGAAGAAGGTGAATATCTTGTTGTGCAAGTACAGGCAGAAGAAGCTAAGGAAGGTTTAAGGGTCCCAGAACAGTCCCAGACACAGAGTAGGTGCTCAACAAATGGTTGATGAATGAATGAACTCAGAAGAAATGCTACTTAGGCACTTTTCATATGGAGAAAATACTTCAACTGTCTTGGCTTCTATTTCCAAACTGGCCTTCCCTTGACACCTTAGCCTAACTACCTTTTCCTCAGATGGTATGCTGACCTGAGAAGAAAACAACCCCCTCCCCCAACCAATAACAATAAAAAGAAAAAACAAAACAATAAAAAATAACAAGAGTCACCAAAAAAACTAAGGGAAAAAAGTCTCATTGCTTAAAAAGTACAAACACACTCTTTGGACGTCTCTGCAGGGGACCAGTCATTGACGGGATTTCTACAGGAAGAGGCACAAGAAGATGAGAGCAGCATGTCCCATGTCTCACTACTGATGAGACTGTGGATTTGAAAAATGGAGAAGAAGGCTTTTAGAGTAATAACTGGCCTACCTGACCAGCCTTGTCTTCAGGTGGACTTTGACCTCTTCGTATAATGTCTAATTCCTGAAGAGGAAAAAACAGCGCACCGCCGAACTCAAACATTTATTCAGTACAACATGCTCCAGACTTCTCTTATTTGTGTTACTGGTGCTTCGTTTTGAGATCCGCAAGCTCCAACTGGAGCCAGGACTGTACTTGTTGCCCCACTGCACTTTGGGATAGGATCTCATTTTAAGATGGTCTCATCAGTGAGACCCATGATGCACATCCTGAAGACAGTTTACTCAGGGATCCTGGCTTCTTGCTGGACCAGGAACAGCACAAAGTTCCCTGTGTTTGCTGAGAGTGGGAAGGTCAGCTGAGGATCTTCTCCAAAGGGCCAGCTGCCTTGTTGTTCACCTCTTATATTCCCCATTAGAAGCCTCCAAAGCATACAACCCAGTGCTGCTGGGGCCATCACCATCCCAACTGAGAAGACCAGAGCCCAAGGAAATAAGCCAATAAGAAAAGAAATTTGGAGAGTACCATTTACCCTCAATTCTTACATTAAGAACACCTCTTGCATTGTGGAGTCACTCCTGGGCCTCCCTACCCACACCTTCCCTGGTGTATTTCTCATCTGTCTGGGAACATACTTGCTCCTTCTGGCAGAGCTTCTGTCTAACGTGCTCCAATATATGCTCGTAACACATGGAGTAGCTCTCAAAGTTGCTGCGTTCTCTGGCCATCACATCACAGCCCAGGGAAAGGAGGCAGGCCTCAAGGTGGTCTTTCCTGAACGTGACCTGAAAGGGAAGGGGCATCACTCAGAACAGCTACCCCAGGGCAGCACCACCACACGAGTGCTCACGGCACACAATGCTTTGGCTCACAGACCCACGTCCATTCATCCTCCATAGGAAAACATTGGCGTCAGCCTTGCAAGCTTCTCTTTGAGGTCTGGGCCTAACATCCGCAGGGTCAAGGATAAGAGTACAAATGAGACATAAAGAACAGACTTATGGACACGGCTGGGTTGGGGGAGGGAAGGAGAGGGTGGGATGTATGGAGAGTAACACAGAAACATACATTACCATATGTAAGATAGATAGCCAATGGGAATTAGCTGTATGACTCAGGAGACACAAACCGGGGCTTAACAACCTCGAGGGTTGGGATGGGGAGGGAGGTGGGAGGGATGTTTAAGTGGGAGGGGACTTAGGTAAACCTATGGCTGATTCCTGTTGATGTTTGGTAGAAACCAACACAATACTGTAAAGCAATTATTCTTCAATTAAAAAAAAAATACAGATGGAGGCTCACATTCCGGATAGGTCTAAGTGTCTTAAATATTTAATGGTTATAAACCAAACTAACTATTAAACTGAAAATGTTTAATTCTTCCACTTTGACAAACAGACCTTCAAATGACTTGGGAGACCAGGTTTGATTTTATCATTCTTGGACAACTCTGAGTTCAGTGCTGAGATATGGTTACTTGGGGGAGAAGTAGGCCCCAATGCATAGTTTACAGTTTGACCCTCTTGCTCTCTACCTTTGCCCTCACATCACATGGTGGGACTGGTTGGGGGGAGGGTTGTATATGTGTAAACAGACACCCCAGCTGTCCCTGCCCTTGCATAGCTGTCCTTGTCTACACCACAGGCCAGAGTGTGCACACAGGTGGTGAGGTCCACTCTCTCTCTGGGGAGGATGATCTGGGAACAAGGCCCTGGATTCAGGGAACCCCAGGGCCCCAGGTGTCTGGAGCATGGTCCAGAAGGGAAGCCAGGGATCTGAGTGGGTGCATCCCCTTGGCTGTGAGGATTTCCTGTGGGGAACAGTGGGGCTGGAGCAGAGCCAGAGGGGCCTCTGAGTGGGGCATCTGACAGGCGCTCCTCTTGCCTTGGTCAAAGGGCCATAGTGCTCACTCTCTAGGCTGTCCCATTTCTTCCCTTTCAACACCTTTTTGAAGAAATGGCCATTAAGGAACAGAGGAAAAGCCTACCCCTCCAGGGCAGACTTAGTTTTAGGTTCCAAGAGAAATGGGAGCCAATATGCGGGCAGTAGGGCAGATCTACCATACCAGCACCTGCATGTCCACGGGAGGGCTGGCGTGTCTCTGCATGTCTGTATCAGCCAGTGTGCTGTGTCCATCTCTATGTGTGTCTGTATTCACAAGTGCATGTCTGTGTGTGTCTGTATCTCTCTGCGTATGTTTCCATAGGTATAGGTCTGCGTATAGGTTTCTGCGTATAGGTCTCTATGTGTCTCTCTACATGTATCAGTAAGTGTGTCCATGTGTGTGGGGCCCACTCCAAGATTCAGCCTGCTCACTTGATGCAGTGACTACCTATGACACCTCCAGTGTCAGGACAGCTCTAGGCTCCCTGGAAGTCTGCTGTAGAAACTAGGTTCCCTTCCAGCCTGGGGTGGTCCCCCTGGCTCTAAGTTGATTATCCTGGTGACACCATCCCGTCAGTGCAACCTCCATGCCATTGACCCCCAGAGAGAGCAGAGACAGGCTTTGCCAGCTGAGTTGTTGAGGCAAATTAACAGAGGTGGCACATAGTGATAAAACCCAGTACTGATGGAGTAAGAAAAATGGTTTGCTCATCACTGCTGATGGGAGGGGAAATCAGCAAGGTATTCTGGAGGGTGGACTAGCAGCATCTATGAAAAGATTTTAAAATATTCATGCTCTTTGACCTAGCAATCCCTCTTCTAGAAATTTATCTTTAGAGAATGATAAAAGTTATACACAAAAATATATGTTAACAGATGTTCTTTATAGTAGTCCTTCCAACAGAAAAGAAAATTGGAAACAACCTAAAGTGCTTAATAATGGAAAACAGGTTGAATCTGCTCATTCATCTATACAGGGAAATACTAAACAGCCACCAAAAACTGTGATGTGGATGTATGTTTGTTGACAACGAAACATATTTATAACATATAGTCAAGTACACCATAACAGAAAGGCAAATAGAATAATCTTATTTTGTTTAAAAAGTACAAGAATTCTGAAAAGTTACAAATAAAGCTTGGAAGGAAAGGCACCAAAATAACAATAGTGGTTATCAACGAGGGTAAGCTAATGAGTGTGTTTTCTAATACATATTTCTATTTTCTAATATACTCACAAAATGTATATATAATTAAAATAATTAGATATAAAATATATGTATTAATAAAACATATATACTAATTAAAAAATAGCAAAGCTTTGGTAAAAGTTATCAACTGCAGCAACTTGGCAGGAATGCACTCAAGACACGCAGAATGGAATGTCTTAGAAGATTTTATGAGCTGAAGCCAGGCAGTCAGGGGTGGTGCTCAGCCTCCCTCCCTCCCTCACTCTCTGGGGCCTCCTCAAGGGGGTCCCTCAGCTGAGGGGGGTGAGGACAATTCATCCTGCCCCTGGCAAGTAAGCAGTAGGACAGCCAGAGTCAGCTGCTGCCTCCAAGGCAAAGGATACCAAGATTCCGTCCCCTGGACCTCGTCTTCTTTATGGTGACAGGGCCAAGGCTACGTGGATTCGCATCCACAGAGGAAATACTTCTCGGACCGAGTACAATGAAAGCCTGAAGACTTGAGAAGTCATGAGACTGCACTGGAGGCCAGCAGGGTGTGGCCAGTGACCTCAGCCAGGTGGGTGGGGCCCAGTGCTTGGAGTCAGCCACAATTGACTCACCCCTCGCTGCCCTGGGCAGCAGTGCCAGTGTGCCAACAGGGCCTCCACGGCTCTTCAGCAGGGCACACTTCTCCAGCTAACCCTCCATAACCACTGCAGATAAAGAATCCCAAACAAACAGAAACGCAGGCTCGAACCACCGTGGCCCTCTGCCATCCTCTCTTAGCCAGCATGCTATTTGAACCAGCCCAGGTTAAGGAAGCCTTGGGTGAGTCCGTGTTATACCAAAGAAGTGAGAATGGCCAGGACTCCCCAGAGCATCTCCAGGGGCCAGAGAAATTGTGTTGCTTCCTTCCCTGCAGTGGCTCAACTAAGGCCTTAGGAGCCTGGGCTGAAAGATCAGCTCAAGGGGATGGCAGACAGAGGGTGAGTGTGCGGGCAGGGAGAGGCGTAAGGGCCCCGCCAGCACATCTGCAGTGGGCACTTGGAATGTGGCCCATGTCTGAGCGGGGCAGACAGGCAGCCATGGCTGACAGGTGACCGAGAGGTGCAGGGAGACGCCCAGTTCCTGACAGTCCCTCTCTGCACATGACCTTTGCTTCTGCAGACGGTGCCCGGCCCCCCCCCCGCACAGCAGTGGAGCCGCCAGAGAAACATCTATTGTGGGGCTGGAGCCTACGTGCTTCTCTTGGCACAGTCCTTCTATGAGGTCTCAGAGAAATTTGCTTCTCAAAAGTTGTTCTGCAACTCATCCCTGCCTTCCTTGGCCACTAAGAGTCAGCTCAGTGTCAAAGTGCAGCACCAAGGGCCTTCATCTGCCAACTTCCCCTCCAAGGCAGGCCCCTGGGTTCCATAAGAACCAGAGTGATGACCATTGGCCTGGTGCCCTCCAGGTGTCACCAACACTTAAACCTGAACTGTGTCGGATGGCACCAGCTGGAAGAGCATCACAGTATCCCATGGATTCTTCTGGAGACCCAGCCTGGGTGAAGGATGGCAGGTGCCAGGCCTTGTTATGGCAAAAGTATAACCCTGCTGGAACAAACTGTGCTTCTCATAGCAATCCATCTAACATCAGGCACACACACGGCGTTTTGACGATATTTCTAAAACCTACCTCTGCTGACAAAATGCTTCAGTGACTTCCCACTGACTCTGGGATGAAATCCAAACTCATAAGGCTTACACACAAGGCCATTCAGCATCTGGCCCTACTTATTTTTACAACGTCCTCCTCTGAACTCTGCTAGAACTCCCTTCCTAGATTGCTGCCTTCCCTCCCCTGCCCTTTTTCATCTGGCGAATACTGATTTATGCTTTATAACTTGGCTCAAACAATATCTCCTCCAGGAATTCTTCCCTGACTACTTCCCATGTCTCCTCCCCCTAGCTAGGTTGTGTTCCCCCTTCTCTGAGCTAACACAGCACCCTATTTGTGCTTCTATCAAAGTGCCTAATGTGAAGTACCTTTTCTGGACATCATTGGTTCACCTAACTTTTTCTATACATTCTTTCAGGGCAAGGACTGTGCTCTTTACATTTATATCTATAATAAAGCGTTTGAAAAAAAAAAGGAGATCCATAAATACTTGCTGAATGAGGGAATGACTTTCAGCATGTGAATGAAAAAGGCTCTGAAATCCACAAAATAGACTATCTCAGTTCTGATTTCCAAAAAAGGTCAGTCTCTAACTTCAGGCCAGTGTGTTTGGTATAAAATTTGGCCAATATATTAGAACTGATTGTGAAAGTCTGGTGTTCTAGAATTTGGAGAAGGAAGCAAAAATCACGAGATACTAACACGGGTTCAAGAATAGTCAGATCAGATTAATCTTTTCCCTGAGGAAATACAGCAGATGCAATCTACCTGGGTTTCAGCAGGACATTTGAGAAGGTTTCTCATGATGTCCTTTTGGACAAATGGAGAACATGAACTGAGTGACAGGACAAACAAATGAGCTTCTGGTCAGTGCAAGGCTGTGCCCAAAGCAACTGTTCGGTGTGGAGGGGACCCAGGGTGGGTAGCCCTGCATTGGGACCCATCTGTCATACATTGTTATTAAAAGCTTGAATGAGGATACCAAGGGTAAGCTGATGTGAACCCGGGAGGGTGACAGAGTATGCTAGATGATAAATCCAGATTTTTAAAGATTTCGAGAGGTTCAAAGAGTGAGCCAGGCTGAAAAAGAACAGGACTAATAATGTGGCAGCAGCAGGATGCCTGAAGGCCTTGTGTGGGCTTCAGGTGGCTATTAGCCTAATGAGTCAGCTATGACAAAATCCAACACACTCATGGGCGCTATCAAAGCACAGCACCCAGGACAAGGGCACTCTAGGCTGGTCAGACAACCATGAAATTAGAGGAGCCTGACCAGGAGGGTGGGGCGCGCCTATAGAGGGACTGCAGGATAGGAGGCTGGTGTGGTCTGAAGAAAGGAAGGCAGGGCTTGGATTTTCCTTGCACACTAGTGTGGTCTGCTCTGCACAGGGGCACCCAGGCCAGGTGACCATGATGCCTCCTTCATTTCCATGTCTGTGTCCCTGGTATAGGCTGCACTGCCCAGAGGAAGGGGTAACAATTTGTTACCCACCACCCGGAGAAACACCTATTTGGGTGTGTCCTCCTGGAGCCCATCCCACTTGTAATTTTACAGAAGATTCACACGTGCTAGCAGTGGCACTAACTGAGCTTCTCCGACTGACTTTCCCTCAGATATTTAAAGGCTTGTTGTGACGGGCTAGAACCATGATTTGTGGTGTCCCAAGGACAAGAACTAGGATCCATGGTGGAGATGGTGGGGAGGCCAAATTCAGCTCAGTAAGAGCTATCAGAAACAGGAGCTGCCAGGAATGGACAGCATGGTGGGGGGGCGGGGAACTGAAAGAGACACTCCCTGTCACTACAGATGATCCAGAAGAGTCTTGAGGCCCACCAGGCACAGATTTTGGAGAGACTTAACATCCTGGATGACCCAACTGATACCAGCCTCATCAGTGCACCCTGAGTTTCAGCTGTGCATGATGTTATTAACACCCATATTTCTTTCCTAGAAGATCCTGTCTTCAATGTTGGGGTGATGTATATAGATAAAGGACAAGCAGATCTTAAGCCACAAATTTTTTTTGCTTTTGTCATGGTACAATATACATGAGATTTGCCATTTTATCCATTTTTTAGGTGTACAGTTCAGTGGCATTAAATATATTCACACCGTTGTGTGATCAATCTCTAGAATTGTTTCCATGTTGCAAAACTGAAAGACTATATGTTGACAAATACCATTCTACTTTCTGTCTCTTTGAACCTGCCTACATTAGATACCTTGCATAAATGGAATCACACAGCATTTACGTTTCTGTGATTGTGTTATTTCACTTAATAGAATGTTTCCCATAATGAAGCATGTGTAAGAATTTCCTTCCCTTTAAGGAAAGTCATAAAATTTTTTGATTCAAACATTTTTCTGCACATGTCCCACCTTAATCACCTCTGTATCAGTTATTTCACTTAATAGAATGTTTCCCATAATGAAGCATGTGTAAGAATTTCCTTCCCTTTAAGGAAAGTCATAAAATTTTTTGATTCAAACATTTTTCTGCACATGCCCCACCTTAATCACCTCTGTATCTCTGATTGAGAACCACTGACCTGCAGGGACCCAGGAGGAAACACTTTACCCCCTCATCAGAATACATAGTGTTACAATGGGTATAACTGAAAGCTTAAAGCAAATACATGTAAATCACATGTGAATTCTGAGGAAGAGTGTACCTTTAACCAACCTTGTGAATTCTCTACAAGTAAGAACTGAAATGCTTATTATAAAATTATGGAGAATATTTGAAGAGCTTAGAAAATGTAAATGTGGATAAAATGTTTAAAAAAACTGAGCACATTTTGCTAAGGCAGGCTTTAAAAATGATTGAATTTCAAAGGAAACTAGATTCATAGCTACTTACTGCACTTTGACGTAATTTGTTAAAGATCCTAAAAACTGTTATGGCCAAGTATCTACATATACATTCCTATCCTGCCCTTTCAGTAGATTCTTTTGATTTAGAAAGGTACTTTCTATCAATTGTAAACAGTTAAAGACTCCAAGGACTATATGTATGACTGTGGTATGTATTAACTATATATTATTGTTATATACATATTATATAGAGTTGTTATGAATTCAAATACCGATAAATACATAAAAATTATTGATACTGGCTTCCTTTGAGAGAGGAAACTGGAGATGATGGAGTGGAGGACAAGTGAAAATGCTACCTTTTGGAGCTGTTGTTTTTTTCATATTGTTCATTTAAAAATGTTTTCTAGGCAGCGTTTTCATAGGCTATTTTGTTTTTCTCTTAAATTTTTTATACTAAAAAATCAACAACAGGAAATGTTGCTAAAGATAACTCATCCATAAATAAGCTCCAAGGTTATGTTAAAAATTGGCCAAATCTGAAATTAGCCACCATGCATATTATAATTACTCTCCCATCTTAGTTAAAAATCAGTCTTTTTCCAAAATTAAAATAGTAACGTGATTTCTACTTTGAGTTCAGGCTCAGTTCTCATATCTTCACTTTAGGGGAGAAAGGGAAGCATTAGGAGATGTACTGAAGAGAAAGTCTTTCTCATTTGGGTTTGTTTTTAAAAAAAAGCAAATGACACTCTAGAATGACCAATTTTTACCTCATACCTCTAATCCACCATCCTGGTAGTTCTCCAATAATCTCTGTACAAAATTTTCAACTATTTGCGGCCTGATAATTGAAAAGTTTTCTTCCATGACTTGGTGTTTCCAAAGGTCTAGGGAAAGAAATACCAATAATAGTATCAGGAAACATTGAACAACTATTAGTAGTTACAAGTGGCAACTGTCCAAGACATAACACAAGGTGTCATTTCCAAATACACAAAAACTAACGGGTGAAGGAGGGGAGTTGGTGGTTGAGGATACAGGATCCTCCAGAACATGGGAATAAGGACGATCTCTAACAAGACTCCTAAGAAAAGATTTGGAAAACACCTCTGAATCCCAGTGGACAGTATTTTGTCATAACTAAATATCCCAAATCAAATGTAATTATTGACTTTATATGACATCTGTTTTCATAAAGTCCCTACATGTAACTGAACAATTATTTTGAGCTAACACAACTATCAGAAATAAATGAAGAGCTATTATATTTATCTATTGAAAAACATTTAAGTGTTACAAATTCAAGTAAGTCGAATACAGAGTTAATTTTAAAAGGTCAGGAAATTCAAAAGAAAGAAGAAAGAGTCACAGATTAGAAATGCAGAGAGCTGCAGAATATGAACTTAGCTCCTGTACTGAGGCAGCAACAAGGCTGACACACGTGTGATAAGTGAAAAAGTGAAAGTGAAAGTCATTCAGCCGTGTCTGACTCTTTGTGACCCATGGACTATACAGTTCATGAAATTCTCCAGGCCAGAATACTGGAGTGGGTAGCCTCTCCCTTCTCCAGGGGAATCTTCCCAACCCAGGAATCGAACCCAGGTCTCCCGCATTGCAGGCGGATTCCTTACCAGCTGAGCCACAAAGTAAGGATGTGATAAGGCATATACACACTTAATAAGAGTAGCATTGTTTAGGACATCAAAAACTTAGAAACAACACACAAACCATGGTATATCCTTCCAATGGGATAGTATGCAACTGTAAAAAAAGAGAAGAATTTCTCCATGTACTGATGTGAAAAGAATATTCATAGATTGTTAACTGGAAAATGCAAGGTGTTAAACAGTGGATATAAATAAAATCCTATCTTTTATAAGAAAGATACAATAAATACAATAAAGGGAGAGGCCACCCCCTCAAGCCTATTCAAGATAATTGCTCCAAAAATTTGGCTTTCTCTGATATCATCATTTCTCCTGTTTCCCTGGATCCTTCACAATAGCACACATTATTTCTTCAACCTCATAAAAATCTTCCACTTGACCCTGTTTCCCATGTCAGCCTTTGCTTCATTCCTTTGCTCCTTTCTCAGCAAAACTCTCCAAAAGAGATGTCTACACATATCGCCTGTGACTTCTTTCAAAATCCTTCTTAGACCCGCTTACCCAGCTGTTACCGTCACCATTCCACTGAAAGTGATCCTGTCATAAACAGCAGTGACCTCAACATGGCTAAAGCCAGTGCTTTCACTTGACTTTCAGTAACATGCCACACAATTTGCCACTTCCTCTTGCTTGAGAAGTTTTCACCACCAAACGTTGGGGGACCGCTCTGTCCTACTTACTCTCTACCTCACTGTTCCTTATAGGCTCCTTTTTCTGATTTTCCTTCTACCCACCCACCCTCAACCCCACCCAGCTCTTAACTTTAGAGTGTCCTAGGACTCAGCCCTTGGTTTGCCTTTATTTTTTTCTATCTATATTCACCCCCTTGACTATCTCATCTAGTATCATGGCTAAATACCATCTATATGCTGATAACTCTCAAATTTAGATCAAATGCCCACTTGGCGTCTCTTCTTGCATGTCTGAAAGGTATTTCAAGCTTCACTTGTGCATAATTAAACTTGTGATCTTCCCTCCCTAACTTGCCATCTCAGCAGATGGCAATTCAGTTTTCCCAAATGCTCAGGTCAAAAATCTTGGAGTCATCATGGACTCTTCTCTTTTCTCCAAACTCTGTACCCAATCCATCAATGACTACTTCAAAAATATGCCCAGAATCTTTACCACTTAATACTTCCACTGCTCCTAACTTTGTTGGATTCTCCATCTTCTCTTGCTTGGATTAATGCAATAGCCTCAAAACCAATCTCTCCCTTCTTCCGCCTTTTCTTTCCAACATAGCAGCCAGAGAAATTCTATTCAAAAATGTCAGATCATGCCACTCAAAGTCTGGGACAGGTTCCCCATCACATTCAGAGTAAACACTGAAGTCCTCATGAGACCCTACATGATATTGCCCTTTCGTGTTTCCTCTCTGACACCTACTGCTCTCCACTCTCTCCACTGCAGCTACACTTGGGTCTTTGCTGTTCCCTAAACATGACAGGCATGCTCTGCTTCAGGGCTTTGTATGGGTTGCCCTTCTGTCTGGAACGCTCTTCCTCCAGATACCCTCATAGCTAACTCCTTCACCTGCTTCAATTTCGCTCAAAATGTCACTTTCTCAGTAAAGTCTATCCTGACCTCCCTATTTAAAATGACAATGTGTCCCTTCAAACCACCACACCACCATCCTCCTCACTCCACTATTTTCTTATTTCTTACATGCCTTGATTATTTTCTGTCTATCCCCTACAAGATGATAAATTCCATGAGAATAAGGATTTTTTCTCCATGACAGTTAGGATGTACAACAGTCCTCCCTTATTCATGGTTTTGCTTTCTGCAGTTTTAGTTGCCTGTGGTCAACTGCAGTCTGTAAATACTAGACGGAAAATTGCAGAACTAAACAATTCATACATTTTAAATTGAGCACTGTTTTGAATATCACAATGAAATCTCGTGCCATCCAGCTATGTTCCACCCCACCTGGGATCCCCAACCACTAATATAGTCTTCTCCTGGCATCAAAGCATGGACATTACAACAGCTGATGATCCAGGATCACCCAAAGCAGATGATCCCCCTTCTGACCTATCATCAAAGCTCAATGGAAGCCTGAAGAGTGCTAAATCACAATGCCGATGTCACTTTCTCTTGTCACATAGGCATTTCATCATCTCATACCATTACACAAAGAAGGGTAAGAACGGTACACTATTTTGGGAGAGACTACATTCACATAACTTTTATTACAATATATTGTAATTTTTCAATTTTATTATTATTGTTAATTTCTTACTGTGCTAAACTTACAAATTAAACTTTATCACAGGTACGTATGTATAGAAAAAACATAGTATACTATATATATATGTATATATAGTAAAGATACTATATTTACTGTAGTACAAATGTATATATATATATATATATTGGAGCAGGCAATGAAAACCATGGGCTCAGATGGTAAAGAATCCGCCTGCAATGTGGGAGACCTGTGTTCAATCCCTGGGTTGGGAAGATCCCCTGGAGGAGGGAATGGCAACCCACTCCAGTATTCTTGCCCGGAGAATTCCATGGACAGAGGAACCTGGCAGGCTACAGTTCATGGGGTCGCAAAGAGTTGGATACGACTGAGTGACTTTCACTTCACTTTATTGTTAATTTCTTACTGTGCTTAACTTATAAATTGAACTTTATCATAGGTATGTATGTATAGAAAAAACATACACTATGTTTACTATAGTATACAATGTATTGGAGCAGGCAATGGCAACCCACTCCTGTATTCTTGCCTGGAGAATCCTATGGACAGAGGAGCCTGGTGGGCTACAGTCCATGAGGTCACAGAGAGTTGGGCATGACTGAAACAACTGAGTATATACGTGTGTGTGTGTGTGTGTGTGTGTGTAGGGTTTGGTACTATCCCCAGTTTCAGGCATCCTCTAGAGGTGTTCGAACATGCTCTCCACTGAAAAGGGGGGACTACTATATGCCCAAAACAGTGCTTAGAATATATAGCCTAGAAAATAGCAGGTGCTTAGGAAATAGGTATTGGATAAAAGGATGAATTAGTACATGTATAAAAAGCACTGAAAGGATACATTAAAAACTGAAAAAGATGATTACATAGGGGTGGCAATGAACCTTCTAAATAAATGTTTTGTGTCATTTTGAGTTTTGAACCAGGTGAATGCATTATCTGTTATCAAGTTAAATATATGACAGTGCTGCAACAATGAAGTATGTCAACACTCTAACTTCCATTTGGGAGAGCAAAAGTACCTGTGCGTGGTAATTATGCTGGGTGGGGCCTATTTCCTTCTGCATGGTGCCAGGAGAGTCATTTTTTTTTTTTTAATTAAGGTATAATTGACACACAACATTGTGTTCGTTCCACATTCAAATAGTGACTCAATATTTCTATCGATCACAAAATGATCACCACCATAAGTCTGGTTACTGTCTGTCACCATACACACTTATTACAATATTATGAACTATGTTCCCTATGCTGTATATTTCATCCCCGTGACTCATTTATTTTGCAACTGGAAGCTTGTACCTCTTAACCTCCCTCGCCTATTCTCTCCTCTTCCCGCTCCAGGGGAGTCTTGAAACTAAGAGAGACCTACGGCATCAGAGGTAGGAGCCCAGCCCCGTTCCTCCGCTCCCTTTTCTGTTGGGGGTGGGACTGGCCCTCAGCAAGTGCACCCACAGGGTCTCTCCCTGCCTCTGGCTGTTTCTAATTTTAGATGGGATCTCCTACTCATACTTCCATTTTTCTGACAGGAGACTCAGTACACACAAGAGAAAGCATCCAGCAAAATCCTCCCAGAAATGTGATATGACAGAGCAGGAGTCTCTGGTATTTATATTTACTGTTATTTATTGGGGGTCCTGGTTTTCAAAATGGCACTCCACATTTCTTCTACAATTGGCTACCTTCCATCATAAACAAATAAATCTGATTTTGTTTTTTTCTTTAGGATAATGAAAGTAAATAGACTTATCGCCACTCTCCTAATATAGTTGAAGTAGGAAATCCAAAAGAATTAATGCTGTGAGTACAAGTTCATGCTTCTAAGAAGTTTAAGACTTTCACAAATCTAAACTTTGATAGGACAGACCTCATGTATGCTTCAGAAATTCTCAGATAAGGAAGTGTGTATAGGGTTCTTCTTCTAGGGTACTCTCCTGGCAGGTCACTGGCTCACAGATAAGCCTGGCCAGGGGCTACACACTTCTAGTTTGGAGACCTTCCCCTGCCAAATGCC